CGAGTTGAGCAATAGAAAACCATTTCACTCGTCATTTTTACAAAAAAACTACGTTTTGTTTTAGTCTCGAATACTTCAAATAAATTAAAAGAAATTTACCTTATAGTTACTTTTGAATGTCTTGATTGTTAGAACAACTAGACGGAAATTGATAAACAATGCGAATAAATAAGCGCCGATGATTAAATAAAGGAGATAGTTTAATAAATCGATATCTGACAACGAGGATTTCATTGATCAAATAATAATTATAAATGTTCTTCTGACGAATTTTTTTAGTGTGAAAAGCAAAGTGTGACTATTGGTTTTTCTTTCGTTTTTTGTAGCTATGGAAACGACGAAATGGCTAATTTCTGAAAATTGATTCGTATGAAAATTTACAGTACCGGTCAAAATTATTCTAACATTTCGAATGGGATGAAAAGTTGATTCTATGAAACTTGTAAAAATATTGGAAAAATCGAAACCTTGAAAATCTTCAGTTCTTCAAATTCTGAAAAAAAATCAGTTTTTTGAATTGGTTTCAAGTTTTTATAACGAATGAAATCAGAAAGATCGAAACGTTTTCAGCATTCTCATTTTTATGTGGGGGACTCAACACGGCAGATACTGGAGAATTTGACACTGAAAAATTGTTCAAGATCTTTGAAATCGATGGTTTCGATGAATCGCGGCTATTGAAAATTGAAGTCTAAAATGTGCGTGAAGATAAAATGGATACTACGAATCTCAATTGAATTGGAATCGGACACTGCCCGTTCAAAAATTGACGAAATTCCAATAAAACGGATATAACAACCTTAGATATTAGTTGTTATATTGTCGAAGCCAAGCGGCTGGACGAAATTTAAAAAATAATAATAATAATTGGTTATGTGCCAATGCGTATCGAGGCAGCGAGAAGTACGCGAAACTGCGTACCTTGCATTTAAGCGTACGCGCATTTAATATTCAGTCAACGAAAAATTTAAATCTACACTGATTTCGCGAATTTGAAGGCTCCGCCTCTCTTCAGTCGCCCGATGCCTACAATATCTGTGTATTATAAAAATTAAAAACTATTGAAATCATTCCTTTAATGCAAAATAACCAGTTTGTCCGCCCGTGCGTTTGTGCGTGGGCGTATCATTTTCATCTGCATCCGTCGATTCTTTGATTTGTTTGCATTTATGCGTATGCTTTTACTATTTTTATTGTCACTTCCTCGAAATTATTTTGTGTTTTATGATAAAAACATCTGCCTCGAAAAGTTGCGCAAGTATTCTAAAATTTAATGCATATTTTGCTATTACTAGAGTTTTCAGGCTTTAAGTTGACCGCAATGATTCTACTAGAACGAGAAATAATTTAATGCCTGATGTTGTATTTTAGGAAAAGGAAGGATTCGAAGACTAATGAGATTATTACTGATAAAAAAAACGAAGAGAAAAAATGGATACGGAAGACTTATCTCGACAGAATGACGGTTCATTCTGGATTGGGGTTCTTCAAAAATTTAACTAAAAAATGTCTTCTATCTATGATCAGTTTGTGGATTTTTGAATTATTCAGACATTTCAAATCTAGGACCGAGTCGGTTGGCTCTGAGAAAATTATCCGAAGATCGAGAATAAAAAACAGGACATAAGGCCCAGTCGGTCCCCACGATATCGTGAAAAAAAAAACAACATTTTCTGAAGTGTTTCAGTTTTTTTTTAACTTATTCTTTGAACAAGAAACCATTTATTTACATTTTGTTAAAAAAAAATCCACATTTGATCCACTATTTCTCACGTGAAATTTATTTTGAAATGTCACAAAAAAGCTGAAATTATTGACTAAAATATATTATTTCCTGTTTGTTAATTTTAACAAAACACTTTTTTTTCAATGAATTTTCAAAGAACACACATTTCGATCTAAGAAATTAGTCAGACTTGTCATTTGTTTTTTAATGGATACACTGGACCATTTTCGTTGTTTTTTTTTGTTTCATATGGCTATCTCAGAATCTTTCGCTGTGAGACTTTACAGTCTGACGCGTTACGGTTCGCGCGGCGGTCACATGAGTATTTTTTTAGTCCCAATATTTGGGGTTTCATCCAATAGAATTTAATGGTATCTCAAAATGATGATGAATTCCGATGCAATCCGAACCATCTGTTCGGATCACACTTTGAACGGAGCAGGTACGAGCAGTTCGAGGCCAGATCGACCACGAATTTCACATGTATGACTCCTAGGACGGTTTTATCAATCACATTACTGAATTAAACAGCCTCTGACGACAGATGGCCGTTTTTTTTTCGAGAGAGAGAATTTAGAACGAAGACTAAATATTCTTTACATAGCCTGCTTCGAAATAAAAAAAAAACACGATTCTGAGAATTGCTTGTCACAATTTTCTGTTACATATAAAACAACAAACACCTTTAATTACCGTACCCAAAACATTTTAAACTTATTATTGTCGGCATCAGGCGACTGAAGAGAGGCGGGGCCTTCAAATTCGCGAAATCAGTGTAGCTTTGAATTTTTCGTTGACTGAATATTCAATGCGAGTATGCTTAAATGCAAGGTACGCAGTTTCGCGTACTTCTCGCTGCCTCGATACGCATTGGTACATAACCAATTATTATTTTTTTTTTAATTTCGTCCAGTCGTCTGACTCCGATAATACCACTGCAAAAAACGAGAATGTTGAGTAATTCTCTACAAATTAAACTGAAGGAAAACCCAAATCGGACCATCTTGTATAATCTTTTTAATCATACTTCATATGTCCAATAATTTTTCAGAAATGCCTATTTATTCAGGATTCAAAATAAATCGGTTGGGCGGGGGTCATAAAATGAGGTCATAATTTTTTAGAAATATTCCCAATTTTTAAATTGACTTTTTTAAAATTCCTTTTTTGGTCTTTTTCATATTGGGCTGAAAACTGCTGATTGCGCGCGTTTTGTGTCAAATTTTAATCGAATATTCAAGGTGAATTTCAAATAAACAAAATAATTAAAGTTGCAAAACGCGGAAATTGAGCTGGCTCTTGTGACGCCTGATGCAGGTAGGCACTTTTTTTTCCGTAACAGACAATAATTATATATAATTATATACAACAATCAGCACGAAAATCACGATTTAAAAATGGTGATTTCTGTTCTATGTAATGTATGGCCTCATTTCTATAATCTCATTCACGACAATATTAATTTATTGCACCTTATACTCAAACTATGTACTTCCTTCTAGAAATATTAAATTTCTTATTTCGCCGGAAACTTATTCTCGTTGATAATTATATATCGAGCGATTCCAATCCGGAAAAAAAATGAAAAAATGAAACTCTCCTCTCGACTCTTTTTACTCAAAATCAATTGCATCCGGCAATATTCGATTCCGGCCGGTATCAAGACGATCCGACTGGCGGATTATATTTTAAAATTTTCGAGTCTGATTGGCTTCATTTTGAATATTTTCGTATTCAATTTGTTTCAACTTTTCGAAAATTTCACACGTTCGATTAATTCGGATGAGATTGGTTATTTTCGTTAATTCCAACCCTACAATTTTCCATTTTCTCTTACAAATTAGATCATTAAATTAGAACACTTCTTCTGCCAATTTTCTTCGTTTGTTCACGAATTAAAAATACCAACCGAAATCGAAAATTTAAAAAAATCAGAAAGGTGTTTTTGAATCCCCCCCCCCCAATCAGCAATGTTTGCTGATTTGTGCAAATTTTTTTTGTCTTTTCTCGCAAATGTATTTTAACCAGCCGTTTGCGACCACAATGTTCTAGAAAGTTTGCGAAAGTCTGTTGTGTGTTTCTTGCCATCCAGTTAGAGCTTTTGATATCATATTATATTATATATTATAATTGCCATTTGGACGTGTTTGGCCATAAGCGTTTCGAGAACTTTTTGGAACTTCATCTATACATCATCAATGACTACCGTATCCATCACAATACTAAATATAATATATATATATATATATATATATATATATATATATATATATATATATATATATATATATATATATTATATAATATATATATATATATATATATATATATATATATATATATATATATATATATATATAAGCCGTCTGGACTCGTACCCTCAAGTAACTATGAATATACATATAGGTTTTAATGGTCGTAGAAAATGCAATTGCCTTGTCATCAATTATAGTTTTCTTAAAACTGGCGTTTCATTCTGAAACGAACCGTTCATCGTCAGGGTATACTGTAACGAAGACATGCAAGCGTGACCAGACGGTATAAATAAATAAATATAAATATATTATGATGATGAAATAATGATTGGTGGTCTTTGGTTTTAATTTATTAATAATCGAGGTTGAAAAAAATCAGAAAAATTGAAATACCTAAGTGGTATAAAAATGCGTGTCACAAATTTCACAGAAAAAAATCCAAAAAATATGAATCTCATTTTTTGATCGTTTCGCGGAAAAGTTGAAATTTATTTAATTTCTGAAAAATCTAGTTTTAATATTGAACACATTATTTATCAATTGTTTTAATGGAATATTGAGTTTGAAGAGAGAAGGGAGGGGGGTCTTCTTGAAGTGTTTTTATTTGTTAATCCAAAGGATCATCAATACCGATGGGTTATAATACATAAACATGAATTCATGATATATTAATTTCATTTGTTATTTCTCAGAGCAACAAAGCGATTAATTATTTTGAATTTCAGCTAAAACCAAATTGATCGAGAAATAAGGTTATTGCTATCGAAATTTATTGTGGAATCTGAACTCGGAAAAATTTCGGTTAAACGGACGAAAAAATAAATTGGCAATTGAAGAAGGAATATTTTTTGAAGGTTGAAAATGATAAGACTGGAAAGTGAAGTGAGGTATTTCACATTGACATATTGATTTAAAATGTTTTATATTCGTGGAAAATTTTAAACTTAAGCTTTCGAACAAATATTGCTGGAAATGTTTCAGCTAGCCGTTGGTTGAGATTTGATTGGATTCAGTGCGAGATGGCGTCGCCATTGGTATGCCCTCCGATTGCTCCGGAATACTACGTGTACGTCGGTCATACAATTGCTTTCGTCTCTTTCCCGTTCAATTTTCTCGCATTTTATCTTGTGTGGTTTCATTCTCCGAAAACATCGAAGTATCGCCATTGCCTTTTATATCTACAGGTATTCAAAGTGAGCAATGGAGCATTTTTTTTTCAAATTATAGTTAATAACACTGATTGCCGAAATCGAAGTAAATATAGTGACACCTGGATATTATTTTTTCCGATGCTCGGAGGATACATCACTTCATGGATTGGAGAACATGTTTCTGGCCATACGGCAACTGTTGAGTTTTTTTTCAGCAGAAATCACAGTGGTTTATTATAAGTAATATAATTACAGTGTGTTTATTTTTCACTGCTTTGCTTCGAGCTTCCCGCATATCTGATTTGCTTTTTATACCGATATGAAAGTATTTGCAAATTGGATAAGGTACGGATCAGCAGAGATGTGCGGAGAAAAATGCCTACGAAAAATTTTTCATAGGCAAATAATTAATTTTATTAATGTTTTTAAAACTCATAAAATGTATGCTCTTTCTATAAGTATGAATCCGTGTGGACTCCCGGGAGGAAATTTCGCGGGAATATCCGGAAAGCATTCGAGTGTTCGGGAATTTCCCGAGACTTCCCCCGTGTATTCGACACAGATTCCCTCAAATTTCTCGGGAGAAAAACTGCTCGGGAAAATTCCGCACCTCATGATTCCCGGGAGAACACACACTGATTATGATGATTATATCAAGTTAACCTCGGCTCAAATAATATTTCCATATGAGACCCAAGGTGCCAATACAGTAATCGCATCCTTAATTCGTTCGTCATTGTCCATAACTTTTTGCAATAAATATGACGAAAATCTCATGAAGCAAAAAAATCGAGAAAATTTGGTGGGAAAGCCGCACAAATGAACGAACGAAATTTCAGTCGCGAAAAGTCAACCAAGTAGTGAAATATGGATTTGTGATATTCACGCACATTTTTCCGTTCGCAACCGCGACGTGCGTGTACAATTCGAGAATCACTTACCAAGAACAATACATGGTTTTAGCAAAGGCAACAATGGTTTATTCAATTTTTAGAATAAAATTCGAATTTTCAGTATTATCCGAATTGTAAACATATAATGCTGATTCGATCGATTGAAATCTACGATTATCGAGTGAATCCATGGATTGCTGGAATCTGTTTAAGCGCTTTTCTGTTCATTTTCATTTCTGTTATATATTTTATTTATATGGTAATTATATCGATATATGTTCTTAATAGTATGAGAAAACACATGTCAAAAGCGACATTTGTGATGCATAAAACTGCTATAACCAGCTTAATTATGCAGGTTCATATTGTTTTTTTTTTTTATAATCTTCAATTATATTCTGTGCAGTGTGTTATTCCCATGTCTTTTATGGTTATTCCGTTATACGTTGTCGGTGTAGTTGTATACAAAGATTTATACGAATATCAAGGTTTGAATCGCAATTCGGCCTACAAAACATTTTTTAGAATTGGCGACGAATATGACGTTTTTCATCGGATCGCACTCGCTGTGCAGCTCGGTTGTGATGCTTCTGACGAATCCGAGATATCGCAAAATTATTTATGACTCGCTCAAGAAACCGCCCAAACACATCGTTTTTCGAATCACTGAGAACACTCTAAAGAACACCAATATCACTTGAATACGTTTTGCAATCAAGTTGAATGTTTTCTTAAATTGTTTTCTAGATCCATACTATTATTGTACAAATTATTAATGTTGTCGCATAAAGTGGATTTCCTTTTTGAGTAATATGAATAACAAATTTAGTCATTTGAATAAGTGGCATTTAATCGTGAAATTTTCCAACATTTTTTTTTTCAATATTCACATCTTTCACACACTATAAAATTCCCAGAATTCTTGAGAAAAATCTGAACAAAGTTTCTATCGTCATTTTTTAAAATAAAGCAATAGTTAGGGTACATAATACAATTTAGATTTTCAATTTCTCGGAATTCTCGGAATATAAACAATTGTTTCTCAAATTTGGCGCTTACAAATACAAAAAATGAATAAGAAAACGCGTTTCGCTTTAAAATTATTCAACCTACTTTTAAAGTAATTACTAAAACTGGAAATCTATAATTTTAAAATATCAATATTCGGCGAAGGTGTAGCCGTCTCTTTTGGTTTACATTTACATAACTAAACGAGTGATTTCAGATTTTTTAATGGCCCCGCTTTCGTCAACCATCCTCTAAGCAGCTCATTCGACTAATGAAAGCGGCTATTTTTTGTAGTTCTAAACGCACTGCCATTCAAAAACAAAAATAGTAGTATAGCCGCTTAAGTGAGATTTGGATGATGTTTTAATCCATTTAGCATGCCTATTTTCTTTCGTGATCAGTTTCTCCTCAAGAAGAGAAGAAGAACAAATGCTCAATGTGTTCGCGGCAGTTTTTATTGGTTTTGCTTTCTTTTTCCCAACATATTTAAATTGTATAAGGCCAATACTTTAATCGTTTTTTGCTTACAAGTGAGGTCTTATTGCTGTCCGTTTTAAATTTTTTGAAAAGTTTTAGCCCCTCTCCATATCAAGTTATTTCATTTCGAGTTTCTGCACATTTGTATGCGAAATTCACGTGGGGAAGGGCTAAAACTTTGAAGGTCCGTATCTCGATAACTAGAAGTTTGCGCAGGTAGGGACCTAGTTCATTCGATTGGAAATTTTCTAAAGAATTTGAATGCAACAAATTAAATAATTTAATACGGACAGCAAAAAGACCTTCCTTGTTAATTAAATAATAATAATAATGTAATTTAATCAAGCGTTATTAAGAAACGTTAATTGTTTAATTAATAGTAAGCAAGAAAGTACCGTGTTTCCAATCATAAATGCTTCCATATTTTATCCGCCCGTCATCAATCCATATGCCTTGCACGCGTTTCCGCATGGCCTCCATCATGCTCCCACCTATAATTCCTATGCCATCCACAGCGCGGCCACGTTCATCTGCGATTGCTGCGACTCACTCAGGATAAGATATATTAAATTATAAACGTGCCAATCATTTTCCGGAATTTGCCACAATTCGGTGTTGGTTTAATTTTCAATTTTCGTCCGTAGTTTTCTGATCTGGAATGTTGGCGGCAATTCAAACAAGCACCCTACGAGGCTATTTGAATTGAAACAATGTTCCGTCTGATGATCGCAGATTCAAAGCGAGTCTAGGATTTCGTTTGTAGTAGCGCAGCTTCTGTCCAAATTCCGCGCCGATTTGCTTGAGCGTTTTTCTTTTTTTTCCCAAAGGTTTCTCAAAAAGCTCAAGTTTCGACACAACTGTTGAAAAACGAGTAATACCAATCATATGTTTTCTTTATAGAAAAAAAATCCATTTTTCGTGTGAAATTCCTCGCATTCTCACTATCTAGTATTCAATATTCTCTCATTCTAAACGCTTCTTCTCCAGTGTTTGTGAGAATGTGTAGATCTGACGACATGCGTTCCAACCCCCATGATTTTTCCCGCCATCTTCTGACGTAGGTCTATAAATCAAAACCCCATTGTGCGCTAAATTTTTCTGTTCGCGCCATCAATTAATTCGTATTCTGCCGTTTATTTTTCCAGCGAACCCCACTACCAGTTCGCCTTTCCAACCGAAATCCCACTCAGCTCATTCGCTGCCATGTTCAAACTCGTGCTCGCTGCCGCTCTCATCTCGGTGATCGCCGCCGCACCGAATTGCTCGATCGAAGACAACAAACTCTTGGACAAATGCAACGCGGTAACAATTTGAAAGCATTAATATTTAAATAAAAATAGATTATCACAGACGATGGAATCTCTCGAAAAGGATTGGGCGAGATTCGACGATGAGGAGAGCGAGTATGACGTTGAGTTTATGAAGAACTTCCATGAAAAATGCGTTGCATCTGTGGTAATCAGAAGTTTTATAAATGAATCAAATTAATTGATTTGATTTAAGGAATGCTTGGAGCCAGGAGTTTGCCCATTCATCACGGAAACCCGTCAGTTTTACAACGAGAACTGTCTTGCTGCCAAAATCATGTCGGGCGCTGCCTACCAGTGCGCTAAGAAGGTTTCCCTTAATCCCTTCTTTTTTATCGCTGATGACAGTCAGCTGTACAAAATTGAAATTATTTAGGTAAAATTTAGTTTGAGCAAAACATTTGGGGTTGAACAATTTTCTGAAATCCAACGCGCAAATTAGCGCGACGCCAAATTGGCTCATCCAAAAAAAAATTTAAGCGCCCACGCTCATCTCGCCCCCGGAATTCGGCGACAATAAAAATAAATGAGTGCGTAATTTCAGTTGGAAAATATGGAGAAGCCTGACAGCTTGTGCGATCACTTCTTCACCACTGACAAATGCCACGTATAGAATTGAGCTGGAATCCAGAAATTGATTAGGTTTTCTTCAGATGTCCCCGAAGACTCGTTGCGAGTTCATCGCTAAACGCAAGCCGTGCGTCTTGCAATACTACGAGGAAGTTTGCGGTCCGGAAATCCTTCTCCAACTTGAAGTACTTTGTCGAAAACAAAAACCCCCGATGACATTTGTCTTTTCAGAATGATTCGCCGTTTGCTGAAGTCTTGTCGTGTACCGATTTAATCGATTAAATCGAAATTGATTGTAGTTGCAATTGAATTTGAATAAATGAATTCATGTTTGAGTTATTACATTACCAATTAACTTGAATCAATAGCCCATCTTTCAAGTTGATTTTTTCCACTCCTTCTTCCACTTTCAGATACTAGTCAACGACGAGTTATTGAATTTGAAGAGGTTGTGATTTTGTCCAGGAAGTCATGAGCAAGTCAAGGAAGTCATGAGCAAGGAAAGTCACGAGTGTCCAGGAAGTCATGAGCGATTAACTCGTAAGCTAGTATGAAGAAGTTGAAGCTTAATTTTCAGAAAACAAATAGACACAGAAACTTTTAAATTATTATAAAAAGTGTGGCTAAAAAGAATTTACTGAAAACGGGGACAGTCGGCGTCCAGCGACTGCTGTTGGCGGGTTGATTTACCCGCATACAGCATCTCATTTTATGTGGTTTCGTCACAATGTCGACACTTTTTATATTTTATTTTTAACATAATTGAATAAATGATATATTTTGAATTAATCAGCACAAGAAAATGCATTAGAATGTAATTAATCTCAACCAAACGCAAATTGAAACTCTTCCAGCTCGTCTTGGCTCATTCCTTCTAGAATCGTTTGGAAACAAATGAATCGAATTTCTTTGAACCTATGCAAATTAGAAATCCGTAGTTTCTCAAATAGAGTAAGCTGATCAGATTTAATCAAATTAATTATAAAGTTTATGCATTTTTTGCGAACTTGATCCATTTGAAATTTTTCTGCCAATGTAAGCAGTCCTTCAACTTCAGATGCTAAAAGTTTCAGATATTTATAGAAAATGGAAGATTGAAAACTTACGAATTATTGGCACATTTAACGGAATGATCATGTTGTGCAAATACATGAAATGATCCAATTTGACGTTTTCGAGTACAATTTCATTTTGCGGATTTTCCGAGAACATTTTCCGGAAAACAGGCGAATGCATTGCGAGCATCTGCAATTATTCGTATTAGGCCTACAATTATTGTGCCGGAAATTCCGAATACCGTTCGATTTGACGGCACCCGTTTGCCTTCAATGTTGAAGACGACGTCGATCAAGTAGGGATTTATTTTAAACGGATCCGCTACTGTCACTTTTGCACTCTTTATATCGATGCCGAAATTCAGTTCCATGGAGAAATTTTCTCTGAAATTTGGGGGTTGATTTATAAAAAAATATTAAATTCGCTTGATTTGATATGCTTATTCATATCCCTTATCATAAAATTTGGTTCGACCCAATGATGGGGAAAAGTGAATGGTCCCCCACTTTTTCTTCCGGAAATTTTCCCTCCAAACTATTCGGGAAATCGAACACTCTCCTGGACGAAAAAAAAGACTATCGTGGACGTAAAAATTCTAGGCCCTGAAAAAGGTCTACCTATTTACTTTTCTGGGGGAATTTTCTTGTTGAAAATTCTGGACGTTTCGAGATCCCCGGGAAACGATGATTTTCCGGGAGCCCACTGGAACACACGGATCAAGAGACCATGGTAAAGTAATTCTAGAAATACTTACGGAACGCGTTGCAGCAATGCGAAAACACATTTATTACTGTCATGACAGAAATTGGCCGAAACCGATTTGGTGCAACTAAACAGTTGGCCTTGGAATTCGCCGGTGCACACGAGATGCGGTTGTGCTTGGCATTCGAAGGCTGTCCCAAACGGATTGTAGCATCGCACAATCACCAAAACACACGGAATCACTTTTTTGTATGAATGGTTGAAAATGAGGTCTACTTCCCTAAAAAAATGCGAAGTGAAAAGAAAGCGTTGAAAAAAAAAGAGAATTACCATCTCAACCGGACATCAATTTTAAAACGCAGCTTGTTCGGGCGAATTTCACCTGGATCGAAGCATTTTTTCCAAACAATTTTCGGAAAAGTTCGGAATAAATAGTCAGAGGAATAATAATGGTCCGGCATGAATAATGAATGGCAGGTGTGATGAAGAACTGGGCGGCACTAAGCGCGGGCATTGGGGGGAATGTTTCCTTTAGCAAGTTTCTATTCGAAACACCTTTGATGATCAATAGTTTCTTGCTAAAGGACACCTAATTATAAAATAATTGGCAAGGAGGCATTAATTATCCGTTTTACAGTACCCGAATTCTAGCTGTTCATATCGAATTTTGAATTTCCTCGCCGAAAGGAAGGCATTATGGATCCGAGAAGCCTAGAGTGCTCAATTTCTTTGTGCAATGATACATCATAATTGCAACCAACAATTTTAAACAATTAATTATCATTCTTTTCATTGTCGCAAAGTTATAAGTCGATTCAAATACTTTGAAGAATATGATTTTCTAGAAGAAAAACTCACAATACTGATTTCAACTAGATATTTTTACGCAATCTGCATATGGTTATTATCTTTTTTATGGCAATATGCCGTATTTTTGAGATTTGTTTTGAAATAGTACCGAAAAAAAAAACACAAGAGGTTTGATAAATACTAAAAATTTGACCCAACATTAATTTTTTAAAATTCCAAATCCATTAATAATTGGTTTATTTTATTAACTGTTATTGTAGAAATTTAATAAACTACAAAATATCGCAATTAAACAACACTTTAAAATAAGGTATAATATAAATAATAATAAATATTTTGAATGTAATATGTGAAGAAAAAATAAATATCTCGAGGTCCATAATAATTCGAATGGAAGGTGTCGAATTCATCAATGAAACTTCACAAGTCCGACTACGACCGAAATCGTTTAGCCATTGGTGGGACCATCATTCGTTGCACACCCCGAAACGGTCTTATCACTCGCAAATTAATATTGATTTTCTCGTTGAGATTGAGATCATTCGAATCGAGTAGATTTGTCACATACTCAAGGCATTTTTTCATAAGCATCTTCATTTCGAATTGGCGAGCTAAACCGAGTATTTCACCAACTTCGCCTACTGAAAATCATTGAAGAAAAAATGATAAATGAAAAACGCTGAGTTCGTACAAACTATTGGCACATTTAACGGAATGATCATGTTGTGCAAATACATGAAATGATCCAATTTGACGTTTTCGAGTACAATTTCATTTTGCGGATTTTCCGAGAACATTTTCCGGAAAACTGGCGAATGCATTGCGAGCATCTGCAATTATTCGTATTAGGCCTACAATTATTGTGCCGGAAATTCCGAATACCGTTCGATTTGACGGCACCCGTTTGCCTTCTATGTTGAAGACGACGTCGATCAGGTAGGGATTTATTTTAAACGGATCCACTACTGTCACTTTCGCTCTTTTTATATCGATGCGAAACTTTACATGGAACGGAAATTGTTGTCTGAAATTCGACGTTTTTTTTCTCTTAAAATATTAACATTTTCTATGCTGGAATTCTGGAACTCCTCAATCAGTGTAGATTTAAGAGTGTGTAAATTTAGCGTTGATTGAGTATTAAATGCATGCACACAAAAACATATTCAGTCACGATAGTTTGTTTTCACTTCGAGACCCTGGAATATAGCCTCAAATATTCTAATCAGTTTTTACCTCTCTCCAGCAATGCCAATAAAAAAAAGAAGCTTGTATATTATTTTCTAGTTTGATTTTTCGAGTTTCGTGTGGTCAACGCGATTTTATTATTTAGCAACGAAGTCAAGAAAACACGTTTGAAAGAAGGAAAAACTGAAATTTTAGTAGTTGAAATTGAATTTTTACTCAAATATTTCTTGGAGCCTTTCCTCCGGTCGATTTGCGGGCGGTTTGCTTGGTACGGGCCATTTCGAATGCTTTAGAGACTTGTCTCGTAAGTAAGTGACTCAAATATTACATGGATGGAAAATTTGACAAAAAAAATGTGAAAACTAACGGTTGACGGCGAAGCGCAACACAAACGGCTTTGTTATTCTGATTCGTCAGTTTGCCCCAGAGAAGCTCAATCGAACGAACACAAACACCCTTATGTTTAATTGAAATGGAAGGAATTGCTTCACATTCGAATGGTCCTTCGTACGAATTGTGACATCTGACGATCGCCAAAATACAAGGTGACGTTTTTTTATACAAATGATTGAAGATGAGATCGACTTCCCTGAAAAAAAAATAAAATTGAAAAAAATAAAATAAAAGTAAAAAGTTACCATCGTAGCCTTCGATTCAATGTGAAATGAAGTTTCTTCGGAAGAGTTTCTTCGCTTTCAATTTCCTTTTTCCAAATGAGTTTTGGAAATTTTTGAAATAAATATTCGGAAGAATAAATGTAATCGGACATCTCGATAGTAAAACAGAACCAACGAATGGCAGATGTGACGGAGCGAAGTGGCCATCACAATGGACTTATAAGGGGAACGTTTCCTCTAGCAAATGCCTAGAGGAATGTTTTGCGTGAAAAAATCAAGTTTTTCCAATTTTGGGATATAATGGATAAACCAAATAATAGTTAGTAATTGGTGTTGATTTTCGAAAAATTTCCTCTTTAAATGGAACTCGGAGCATTTTTAATATAATTAATTATTGATCAGCGATTTTATGTTTTTTAATCTATCATGATATAAAACAGCGTTTTTTTATTGAAATGGTTTGTCTGCGACGCAAACTCAAAAATTAAAAAAAAAGGTGTTTGAATTGCCGCCGAATCATCTCTATTTGCGGACTTGCGCTATTTTTTTTTTCAAAAAGCAAAAAAAAACGGTATCAAGAGAAAATGTGTGAAAACACATTATAATATCACAGAAAAACCCAAAAATAACCATCTTATTTAAATTCGTTTTTCGATCGATTTTTCGCAGCAACGTTGAATTTATCTTTTTTAACTGCTTCCAAACTATAATTAGGCCCATAATTAATTACTTAGAAGCAGTTTTAATGACACAGTTTTCGAGATTGAGAGTTTCTTTTAAAAAAAGTTTAAAATGAGCTAAGCGTTTTCAGGTTACCAATTAAAAGTCGGAAAGCATAATTCAAAAATTGGGCTGTCAATAAAAAATTATAAATTATGAACCACCAATTTTTTAAATAAAATTTTTGAAAATGGACTGCCTCATAAACCTTTACCAGAAAACCGGCAAAAATAGTAAATCTTGTTTTGTATACAACTTTCGAATTTTTTCATTTAAACCTCATGAATAATTATATGTTGCTCGCAGGTGTTACCAAGAGTTTTCCACAACAACCGAATCTTCGATGAGTCTGATTTGTATTTTCCGCTTCTGCCTTTTTAATTTCTTGTCCCGGAATTCAGAGCACGTATTGAACTTGTGTCCGGAATTATTGAAATCCATACAAACGCATTGAAAGACACGTAATCGTGATAGCTCTAATCCGAAATTCTCGCGTGTCGGATGTCAACAACAACATCTATGATTAAGCTCACGTGTTTTCGGTTTCCACACACCATTAAAAGAGTGTTGTGTCGTCTCAAATCGGATATGCGATTAAACGTGTTAATCTCGATATTAGAAAACTCGTTTCCATAAAAGGAGTTCGTTTTTGACCTGATTGAAAGCGTGAAATATAAAATCGCATTCTATCAAACATTTTTTGTTTTTTCTCTCATAATTCAATTCGGCCAAATCGTATGCATAGAATTTTTTGTCTTTTTGATTTCTTATTCGATTTGAATTAACATTGTTGGATGTTTGCTTCAAGCTTCTATAATTCCGAGTTTTAATTATCATTTCCAATAAAATGCTTGTTAAATTACACATATGAATTATATTGCTATGGAAATTTCGGAGATGAAAAAAACTCAGATACTGGTTAAAAATATTGCTTTTTTGCCAACACAGGGTTTTTTTTACTGTTTTTGCGAAATAACAAAAAAAGATTAAAACGCAATTCTCAATTATTCTTCTTTGTATAAAATGAAATCTCTTCAATGCTCCCCGATTTTGTGCATTGCGACAGGCGAAAAAACCCAACTGCCGTGAATCGAGCAATGAATGCAAGAAACTGTTCAGAGTCCGAGAAAAGATGAAACACTCAAAGTTGATCGCATTCACGCTCGTTTCTCTCCTCTTGACGAATGTGATCACTGCGAAAAAATGCTCGGATCATCCGAATTGCATTAGTGTAATTTTTCGCGACCACGTTGTAAAGAATTGTAACGAAAAATTGCAGGAGTTCCGAGATCTCGTCGACGCGGCAAACGCCGCCAACGAAAAACCGAACAGCAAATTTAGACATGACAAACTGCGGGCTCGATGCAAAGCGGCAAGACGGTGTCTGGAGATCGAGGGATGCCAGCTGAAAGCGTTCGGAACCGTCAGCAGCTACTGCAAAGCGATTATTGAATAATTATTGGAATTGTGTTAGAATAGGAGAGAGCTATCCACACTCAAGTATGTTCTAGTGATCAGATAAAATAAACCTTGCAAAATTCGTAAAATAAATATTTAATATTACTAATCTTTATAATGTAAAAGAATGTCGAACAGGTAGGAAATTGCAATATACAATAAATGAGAATGCTAACAAAATACTGGATTTAACCTCAATAATTACCAAAAAAGCGCTTCGTGTATTTGTGGACCAGGGAAAAGTACTCGTTTTATTCCAGAAGATCCTACATAAATTTCCCGAAAAATGCTCGGAAAATGGGCAAATTTTTCAAGCAGATTACTTTAGATTTTTTTCAGCCTTCTGTTTCTGACAAATGGGTTTTTTGTTATAATTATAGTTAAAAAAACAATAAACATAAATTTTTGCGAACTCGAATTACCTAGGAATCAAACGCATTATAAATTGGCCCACGGTGATTGTTATATTCAAATTTTTGTCTTCGAAGGAATTCAATTTTATTTTCATTTTATGAAGAAGCAAAGTTCGATATGAGGAAATTCTTCAAATTTTTCTATGTGGGATTATTAAAATATGGAATTTCTTCGGCGAATCCCTATCTTCGATTTTGATCGAGGCAATTGCTGATCGCTGAAGTGAATGATACTTCCGCGTATTTCAATGAGATGATAACGATTTTCTCGCGTCAACCAAGAATTCGAACCGCCGAATTGAGCTTGAAAGAATGTTTTCGATTCGATAAATATCATTATAATTGCTGACTCAAAATTATTACTAAGTTTCGCATTCTGATTGTCATTTGTGGCGGCCGTTCCGATCGTCGAACATTTATTCAATGGAAACAAATATTCATTCGAAGAAATGAAACAAAAGTTTTCATCGCGCACGTATTCCACAGCTTAATACGCTTGTTTGATAAATTTTCCTGGAAAAAAATTGAGAGATCGAAATGAAACATTCTTGTTGATTAGGTACTACGCCGTACTCTCCATCATATCGCCTGACATTTGAAAAATAGTATCTCTCTCTCTCTCTCATTTTTTTATTTTCAGGAAATGTTTGAGCCAGTGTATGTTTAAACTATAGCACATAATTTTTTTCCGGCTTGTAACATTTGTTACAACCCACTGAACTCTTCCCCTCAAAATGTTTATTATATATTGGCTCGAATCGTACTAGTCGACGAGGCTCCGAATCATTTGCAAAAAAGAAATCCTCGCCAAATTGTATGTCTTCGTCATGAATTGGCACGTTGCCACACAAACACTCACACACGGGTTGGGTTGTTTGTTGCACCGCCGCTAACTATCTGACGAGGTGCAACCTCTGTTTCGTCTCATCGAAACAACAAAGGTCCCTTTTGTTAATCGAATAGCGGCCGGTGTGAGACAAACACAAGCTCGCAAGCCATCTCGCGCTGATTCATTTGAGTTTTTTGCAGCCACGATGAATGCTCAATTTTAACTTCTCCTCTTTTCGGCTATGTTTGTAACATTGTCGGCGGTACCTGTCTTCGATTGGACCTCCAAGAACGCGCTAAACGACTATTTCAATTGCAGCAAGAAGGCATGGGAAGTTTGCCACAAAGTAAGGGACTCCCGAGTGAATTCTTAATTGAACAGATTGTTTCAGAATGCAGATTTTGACGATGACCAAGCATCGCTAGAGAATGAACCCGTCAACCGGAAAATGGCATACGAAGTCCTCAGATATTGCCATGATCTACGAGTATGTTTCCGATTCCAGAAACTATTTTAAATTTCCAATTTATAGGACTGCTATAGAGGTTTGGATTGCGAATTGGCTGAAACCGAGAAAATGTGCGAATCAGCTGAAGCGATGACTAGACCATTCGGATTATGTGTGATCGATGTAAGAACATCAAAATCCATATTCTAACCGATCTCTTCGTTTCTTCAGCTTATCCCGACCTTCCACAACGAGGCTGAGTGCGACGGATACTTCCGCATCGAGCAGCGCCATGTAATCAATTCTCCCCCTTTACACTGTCGATCCTATTCTCGATTTACAGCTCACACCCGAACAGAGATGCAAACTTCGAGCTCCTCATAGAGATTGTGTGGTTGAGTTCTACAAGAGAAAATGCGGAGAAACTGCCGTCTTGGACGAGCTGAACAGAGTAAGAAGCCTTTCATGAAAGCCAGTAGTTTGATTCATCGATGTTTAGAAAGAAGCTGGATACTTCGCATCGTTCGACTGCTAGGTCTTCTCATACACCAAATACCCCTCCTTCATTCTATTTATATCGCGAATTTCAATAAATATCTTTTTCAATAAATAAATATACATTTTCTCGTTTGAAAGATTATTAATGCGTGAGTCATGGCTCTTGTTGTGCAGCAAAAACCATTTGTTGGTTAGCTAATTGTTGTGTAGTACAATGACGTTTAGACGGCGTAGACAAAGGGAACAAATATGTTAAATGGTCAGCTAAACCGGATGCTTTCAATTTGAAAATATCAAAGTAGCAAGTTGTTCCAATTCATCAGGACTCAAATATAAATATGTTCCTTCGAAAGAGTATGGAAAGTGATGGGTGAGATATTTTCGGAAAAAGTTCTGAAGAGATTTGATGCCATATCAAGAGACGATTGGACGACTCGAGCATTCCAACTAAATTCGGAATTCTCATATGTCTTCATTTTTAAATTTCACAGAAGTTGAAAATCCGATAAAAATCGGCGGCTCCGATGGGAATCGTCGACAATTTACTGAGTTAAAATATTGAATGGAATGACTCATCCGTTCAGCTATAATCGCTATTTCAAAAAAAAAAAACAATAAATTTTAAATTTTTTTAACACTAATTATTTTATTTTATTATATACATAATTTGGAGTATGGAAAGTGATGAGTGAGTTATTTTCGGAAAAAGTTCTGAAAAGATTTGATACCATATCAAGAGACGATTGGATGAAACTTAATTAATACTCGGAAAAGTCGAAGAAATAAGAATTCGAGCATTCTAACCAAATTCGGAACTTTTCTATTAATGGAATGACTCATCCGTTCAGTTATTATCGCTATTTCAAAAAAAAACAATAAATTTTAAATTTTTTAACACTTTAATTATTTTATTTTTTTGACCTTTTTGTTCTTTGTTTCACAAATAATGTGCGAAATTATCGTTTCGCCAATAAATGTGCGATGGCTGGGGTTATTTCCCAAAGGCGTCCGGACTAGTATATAAGGTCGAGTCGAGCGATTGTTTTATCATCAATCGCAATGCTCAAATATCTTCTTCTAGCCTATGTGCTCATCGGATTCGTCGTTTCGCGTTCACTCAACTTTAACGCGACGACGAATAATCTGCACTTAAATATATCCGCATTTCAATCATGCAGCGCAGAAAATTCACAACAGTTTTCTGACTGTTATTCGGTATGTCCAAAAAAAATTTGATTCGTTAAAAAAATAAACTACAGGACTGGGGACTAGTGATGAAGACTATTCTTATATCCGTTCTACAAGAATCAACTATCACACCAAAAATTGTGCTTCAAATGAAGCAGCAGTGTGCATTTTCTGAAATATGCTTCAAAAATGCTGGATGCGAGGTTCCATTCTTAATCGATCAACTTTGCGCCGGCGTCGATATTCTCTCAAAACCAGGATTCATGTGTGTTTTGAAGGTTCCAGTTCTCAGTTTTCCAAACTGACTCATTTCCATTTTGCTTCAGATTCATAGCACTGCAAGAAACGAAGTTGCATGCGGTGGCGTGTTGAGGCTTTCATTCCTTCAGGTATTCATACCTAATATTGAATCATTCGAAATTTTGACAAAATTCAGATCGGCAGTGGCAAATATGATGATTTGATTAAAGAGAATAAGGATTGTATGGCGAACTACTACAAACAGAAATGCGGAGATGCTATAAAAGAGACATTCTCAAATCAGAAGGAACGTGAAACTACAAACACAGAAGATGAAAACGCATCAAATGCTATCTAAAATAATTGGAATTTTATTTTGGCTTTCTATATATTAATAAATTAAATTGCAAATAAACTTACTTTGTTTGAACTCTTGGAAAATCGTAAGGATAACATTATCTCATTTCACCAATCAACCTACAGCGATGAGCTAAAAGAGCCTCAAACCGTGGAACTATTTTCCAGGTATGGATATTGCTGACGTCGCGTGATTCATTTTAATTAAATTTATTTAATTGCCAAAGAAAATTTCGATAAATGTTGCTCCGTAAATCGTGCTGTAGAAAAGGTATGAATAGAAATTTTGGGGAAACGGTTTTTTAAGAGAATGTGCGATTTTTAAAGGCGGATCCATTTGTTTTCACCGAATCTCGCGATTGACCGCCTGATTCGCTAACAAGTAAGATTAGTGCGCCTTTAACCTATCCTTGTACTTTGACTCGTAAATAAACACTTTTAGTTTTGCGCTCACAATGTTAGATCATTGTTTTTGAAATTTAGACATTTTTTTTATCGCGGGACGCCGACAATATTTCAAATGTCCTAATTTTTGGAAAATTTCCACTAGCATTCAAGTAAATTGTAATGAATTCGACGTATTGAACTCTCGAACAATTAAACAAAGTATTATTGATTTATAGTTGAATACGAAAAATGATTGATAACAATTCACCAGAGTTCATATTATTTTACACACCAAATAATTAGCTGTATTTCTTTCCTGTTTTTTATCATTTGAATAATATTAGAAAAAATAAGATATTTGAAGAATTTTGCTATGGACTTGAAAACGAATAATTTGGAACTGTTAAAGGGAGACATAATATACATTCGGATAACAATGATACTATATCAGCGTTGCGACGGGCCTGAGGTCGAAGGTTCGCGATTCTCGATGTTCTCCTTGTTAAGCGAAATGCTATCGCAAGAAGCGACGTCACCGGCTGAGCAAATTGTTTCTGAATCTGATCACGGTTTCCTCAAAAATAACTTTAAAATTCATACCTGCAACTGATGAATCTTCTGCAATATCTTGGGATAATGAATCCGAATTCAGCGATACTTTACTTTTCGCTTTTCCTCGCTTCTTTAAGTAGCCCTTAAGCGTCTTCGCGTCAACTTTCAAATCTCTAGAATTTAATGAAATATACTTAAAAAAAAAAGATGGAACATACTTAAACTTTGCCACACTTGCGCGTAGTCCAGGCAAAATTCGACTGCTCTTCTGCTTCGACAGTGATGATTGAGGCCTTGTCACCGCTGAATTCAACAGAATTGATTTTCTACGCAGTTGAGTAAAACTTACGTCGACTGAAATTAATCTGTGGCAATTCTGCTCGTTGTGTTTCCATTCTCGAATTCAATTTCATAATAAGATTGAAAAAGTCGTCTTCACTCTGCTCTGGAGCAGGCTCAGCTGCCTGAAATTGAATGTTTTCAGATAAATAAAAAATATTATAAAAATGGTACCTTTTTCTTCTTTTCCATGATTCCCGTTATCGTCTGTCTCCATGTTTCCAGCGTTGTCACATGCTCCAATCGGATAACGGTACCAACATCCTCAAACGGCATCCAATCGTCTGATCCATCCAAATGCAGCTCAACTTTCTCATTTTCAGCTAGTTCATTCCTCATTTGTATCGTCGCGGCGTCAATTTTCTTGTAGAGCTTTTCGAATAACTTCGCATTATCAGTCTAAAATTGTTTGTCAATTTTCAAATATTTAATTCAATTCTAACCACTTTGGCCAAAAGACTTCCAATGACAATAAAGTAGGCAACTTTTTCGTAGAGTTTTAAACCAATAAGAGCATCAGCGGCAGCAATAATTGAATATATCGAATATTGGTCCGAGTAATCCCTTGATAAGCGAAGGGCATCCAAAGCATTCGAAAAAGCTAAACATTACGGATTTTAAAAGGATTTTTAGATTTACTTATTTATTTTTACCTTCATCGTATCGATTCCCTCTCGAAAGCAGCTCAGAAACTCCAATCGTATATTCGATTGTCTTGTTTTTGTTGTTGCACTTTTTCGCGTAATAAAGCGCGGTCCTAAAATAGTGAATACTCGACGAGAGAAATGTTTCTTTCCTACTTTAACCGTTCAATCGCCGGCAAAAGAAACTTTCCACTGTGCATGTTGCCGATCTCGAAGTGGCACTCGTGGATTTTTTCCAAGTTTTTCATTTTGTTAAAAATATTAATACACTACAATTTTATAGGTTAGCAAGAATTGTTTTGAATAAGAAACCTGGATATACAACGTCTCCGCATTCGAATCATTTCCTGTCATCGCTTCAATTTTGGCTTCTCGCATCAGAACTAATGGATTACTTGATTCCGATTCCGCAGCGCATAACCTAAACAACGAAAAATCAATTAATTTCCACAATTTGACTTAATTGACCTTAATTGATTTTTCGCTTCTTCAAAAATCGATTTCTTTTCTTCATCATTTTCAGTTTTTTCAGTTTCTTTGATGTAAATATCAATAAGTGTAAGTCTTGCATCAAGAACAACTTCCTAAAAAATAATATTTCAAAATTACTTCCATTTGACGCAAACCTTGTCATTTTTATCTTGGGCTAAACCAATTAATTCGAGCCCAAGCGACTTCGCTCGGTTAAAATTTCCCGACTTTACTCGAAGTTCGATGATTCGTTTGTAAGCCTGTGCTGCGCCCTCCAAATTATTCAATAATCTAAAATTTTAATAAACAATAGGTGGCATATTCAGATTTCTTACTTTTGAGCATCCAGTTCGTGTTGAAAAAAGTCATAAGCAATATCGATTTGGTCCATTTTCATTGCAATTAATCCGCACCACATGTAAACTTTTGATAGAAATGGAATGTCAGTAGTTCCAATATTTATTATTTCAGTTAATTGCGAAAAGCCTAAATTACATATTTTAACAATCTAACAATTATAAATTTTCCTACTTTCATTCCATGCTTCCTTTTTAGCAGATAGTAAGGCTTTCTGAAAAGTTTCGCGCAATTTGTCTTCATCGATCGATGCGGTTCCGAATGAGCCAAATGAATCGATAGATGTTGTATCCATCGAAACTCACTTAAAACTAATTGATTAAGTAACTACGAAAAAAAACTAAGAAAAGATTTGAAATAGATGTAAAATGTTGCGGAAAAAAACAAGATTTTTGAATTCTCAAAGCTACCGCGCGTTTGTCTGCAAACACGCTCACACAGCATTGCACACTCAAAAATAGCGGCGGCGCCGGTTGTCCATACTATGGATTAAAGAAATGAAATAACGCTTATAACCGTCTACGGAATGGAACCGATATGATATTTGCGGATCAGAATCACTGCACATTGAAGAATGGATGAAAAAGTCAACTTTTCATCAGTTTTTTTCGTCCAATTCATAGAAGCGGACAAAATTTTGCAAAATTTGGAAAAAAAAACAGTGTTAGTCCTATGGAAGAAAATTCATGTTTTTAAGTAGCGAAAAATTGATGGAGATATTTAAAAATTGGACGTAAAATTATTAATTATAAAATAACGAGCGCCCTTCGCCAATTTACAGTGAGTTTGATTCGTAGGTTACTATAGTTATTTTTGCGGTGGTATATATTACTCATAACGATAGCTCGTTCGAAATAAACCCACATTTTTCTTCAGAAAGTGAATGCGAAAACCTACAAAAAAGGAGGTTTTGAAAGAAGTTCACATTAGCATTTGAAAATTACTTTTCGAAAGCGGATATTCCGACAGAAAAAAAACATTTCCGTGGTATTTTTTATTTAAATGTACTGTAAAAAAGATAGTGCACTGAAATAAGCCAAGACTATTTTGTGTGTTTCAAAAAAAAAATCTACATTCCACATATTTAGTAAATTGTTCAACTTCAAATAATGGAAAATTCATTCAAAAAATAACAAATTGTCTCAAATCGTTTATTTCTTTAAGAATACTTTATCTACCACATCGATTTGCACGAAGACACCGCCAGAAGCTCAGATTTTTCCTTTAAAAAGAAAGAAACAAGCATTAATTTAAAATAGAGAGACTAACTTTTTTGAGTTCTTCTTCGATCAATTCCTTCCCGCATTTTTCTTTCAAATAATTTGTGATGCACAATTTATGCTCACCAACAACCTTGCAAAACTCTTTCGGAGACTTCTGAATAAAAACTAGTATAGTCGGCGTCCGGCGACGGTTGTAGATTTACGAGGATGCGGCATTCTCTTGGTCTCGCACGGACTGAATAGTTATTTTGAATTTAATGGATCCGTTAGATAATTTTTAAATCGAATAAAGATTAAAAGAAAAATGAAGCAGTTCACGTGCAAACAGCAAAATAAGCGTTCCCACGTTGCGAGACCTTTTCAAGGCGCATGTGCGTAAATCTACCCGCGTACAACAATCGCCGGACGCCGACTATACCACAGATCACCTCAGAAAAATCAGATTTGAAAAATCCATCACATGCTTCTTCAGTGGGAAATACATTGTTTTGCAACTGAAAATTGTAGCCAATTGTATTTTTTTCTATTTCAATTGAAGTACATTCATGAGGCAACTCGCAAGCGGGCTATCCAGTATATCGAATTTGTGGCAAGCTTCGAGATAGTCTTCCTCGTAATCTTCCTCACAATCGAATTGTTTAATGCATTTCTGAAATTAAGAATTTTGCATGCAAAAAATACAACAGTATTTACTCGATTTGTTTATTTTGGTAAAATTGGAAAGAAACTGTAAATTTGGATTTAAAAAAAACTTAAACAAAAATTCGCATTGAAATAAATGTGAAGGGTATCCTTTAAAAAATAGATGAGAAATAAACAAAATTCCACTTTAATTTGTAGCGGGAAAATCGATGACCAAGTAGATAACATTTGTATTGTCGTCAAATAAAATGCACAAGTCCGCAATGTCATTTCCTGGGTAATTTCGAAAGTTAACGTCTTGATTGTGCTTCATTCATTACCTAACAGACGTGAGTATGTATTTGAGACAAAAAAATCAGTAACTGAAAAAAAAATTCCATATATAACTTGTCGTGTTTACACCTAATGCATTTTATCCGACGACTATTTTAAAATGTGTAATTTTCACTTGACTGAGAAATTTGAACGCACAATTTTCTGAGTTTCGAGGTCTCAAGAACATCGAATAAAAGCTGAAAATCAAATTGCTGACTTGTGCATTTTATTTGATGACTTCACGATCGATTTTTTTTAATTTTCTTTTTTTAATTAAAACAATTTTTTTTCTTATTTATTTTGAAATTTTTAAAGTTTGAATGATATTTATACTCCTTACACCAATATCAATACACTGTTGGCGAAGGTCTTTGATCAATTCTGGTGTAAATGTTTCTTGATTATCCGGCGATAAAATCAATTCCATGAGTCGATTGATAGGTTCCTAAAAATTAGTCGAGTTCTCAAAACGAAAGGCAACAACTGTTAGGAATGTTTCGCAAACCTCAGTACAATCATTATATGCGGCTACAGCACAATTGCTGCTAAGCTCATTTGCTGCCTTAAGCTCATCTGACAGATAGTCGAATGTCGGGAAAGCAATCACTCGTGAGACAGTAAATAACATCAAAATAACCGACATCGTCATACTCGATCTGGTCGAACGAAAAAAAAAATGAATGTCGGGTTGATTGAGGGGGGATTTAATCGTATTCGTGATTGTTTAAATCCTTCCGCTTTCACAGTAATTTTCTCTTGTCCCCCATTTTTTCTCCTTTTTTCGTCGTTTTCGATTTATCATATTTTCTCAACAATCTTGTGCTACAATTCCCTGAATGATCGGCGGCTTTAGTTCTGACTTGATATCAGGTATAAATCATCATCAAAATGTATTCATTTTTGGAAAAAAAAGAGATACCGAAAAAAATTTGGCCGATGACGTAGGTGGGGGACAGCTAGGGGGTAACGTGTTCTTCTGGGTACATATGCTTATAGGAAGGGGGGGGGGTCAATGTCTCTTACATGGGTCAACAGATTTATTCTATGTAATTGGGGTCGACAGAAATTATTCAACAGTTATTCGAATAATCTCTATTGTTATAAGTCATTTTTTTTTGTGTGTGATTTTTGTATACATCGATCCAATCATTTTCGAGAAGCATTTTTGTTGAGAAATTTCATTTTAAACATCTTCGGACATTTTTCGAATTTCGTAATATTTAAATGATTCAAGAGGTGAGACGAGATGCTAGAAATAGAATGGAAATGACTAAAAACAATTAGTGGGTGATGAATAATGCGAGCGAAACGATTGCACTGTTTATGATTTCTGAATGTCGAATCAAACGTGCGACTCCGCCCCCACAATTTCGCAACCCATTCGGATACTATGTATTAAGAAGCATTCAACACGAATTCCCTTCTCATCTCAAATATTTGATCACTATGTCTGTCGCATTCGCTCGAATTTCGCATTTGCACTCGATTATCCACCATGTTATCAAGGTATGCGTTTATTTGGTGCAACGGCGGAAGCTCATTTAATGGCTCTTCAAAGTCATCTTCAAAATCACCAGCTGAAAATCGAAAAATTTACTGAAAACGGAGAAGGAGAATGAGAAGAAGAGGAAAACGAGAAATCGAGGAAACAATTCAGCAATTAAAACGATCGAATTTTTCGAATTGCTCTTCCAAAAATTCTGCTCTGCTAAGAAAGAACGGAAAAAACTTTGGCCGAATCCAAATATGATCGAAGAGTGAAATTATTGATGCTACTTCGAAACTTGCTCTTATTGACTCATCGAATGTCTTATTCAATGAAAAAAACGAAGGTGGTAAAGGAGGAAGACAAGAGGTGCATCATTCCATGATCTCCTAATGGATGAATGGGATGTGGAGGTAGATCAACTACAAATACAGTTCAAGACTTATCCAATGATCCACCAATTCAAAGGAGGTATTGGCCAAACCGTGCGATTGCGACAAATTGGCTAAATGCCAGAAATGGTAAAAGAGACGAGACGTGCGCTGTGTAATTGACACGGACAATGTTGCGAGACCCAAGTCTACAGTAGACAGCACCGCCCGCAGTCGCCCTACATCGACAATAGTTTGGAATCAATTTTTCAAATACTACGCTCAATTTCAACACAAGGAAAATTAATCGACTCATCCAATTTTCTTCATTGTGCCACAATGCGTAATACAATGAATCCCTTCTTCTGAATCATTTGATGAAGTTCAGAATCTCACTGTAACAATTGAAACGAACAGAAGATGAAGAGGTATACAAAAAGTTCTTCTGGGATCACATTATCATCAGATGACTCAAATTGAATAATCGATAACAAGCTTCTTGGTGGATTTTTTAAATTTTCACATTTCTCACATGTTTTATAAAAAGCATGAACTGTGAGGAATAAAAAATACTTAACTCATCCAATGATCCTACCTCTAATCATCGTCTTCATCAGAATCAGAATGAATTCCGAACAGCTAATATGTAATAATGCTGTTATGTATCATTTTTAGAAGAACATGAATTCTCAGAAATGGACCATTTCTTTAGGATATCGAACTGATGATTGCCCTACATAGCATACAAAAAGTGTGAGAAGAACTATCGATAATTTGCTTGATTTGAAGATCGAGAATGGGAATCTTTTTGGCAAGAATGGCTCGACGAAGTGACAATTGAAGAATAAGGGTCCAAATCATCAAGTGTGAACGGTCGATTGTGATCAAAAATGCCACTTGACATTTTGAGAAATTTGACCCATCCGATGATCCATCTCTGTCCGCTTCCATGAAATTGGAAACGCACATCAAATTATGTATAGAATGATTATAAAGAAGATGAAGAAGATTAATCAATGTTTTCGAATTCGCGGAAACGCCTACCCAAGAATTCAAATCATTCAATGATCCTCTGTTTCGTTGCATGATTTACAAAAATATATCAATTTTTTGAAATTGCTGTCGAAATATCTTCAAAACGTTGGCAAAATGACAAAAAACCGGGATACTTTTTTTTTGGTCATAAACTCACATCGAATCTTCACAATCAACAGTCAAATTTTTATCGGATTGGATTCATATGAAGAAGAACTCGATCGACGCGAAGAATAGAAATAAATACCAAGGAAAGATACATCAAATAATCTAAAATCGCTACGAACGATAGTCGGTGATGAAGAGGACGGAAAAAATAAGGATAGCAAAAAAAAAGAAAATCATCCGATGGTCCTTTGATAGATCTACGCAAAGAAATAGGGTTGGCGCGAAAGGAAAAAATTGGTGGCGTTGGATTGTTGAAAAGAACTCATCCAATGTTTCAATTCGAGACATATGAATGCAATTCGCGTATGCAAACTGTATCTGTTTGGAGATGAAAATCGAATCAATCCCTAACAGACTGCGTGATTACCAACACATGCAATGACCTTCTGGAAATGATTCCCAAAATTCAGAAGTCCGAGAAGAGAAGAACATAATTGGTTATATTGAAATAACCAAATAACGAGTTTAGTTATTTTAGCACTGATAAATGTTTGAGAAGCTGAGAAATTCGGTGAATTGAAATCTCGACTATAGTGGACTCATCCACTGATCCTTCTTTATTTATTAATCGACAAAATTTGGGAAAATCGAGATGAGAAAGAACAGCTGACGAAGAATTCACATCGTCAGATAATATTCAAAGCAGAAGAACTCATCCAATGATCCTTTGAATAACAATGAGAATGTGAGAAGGAAATCGAATACGGAATCGAACTGGAATTTGGTTATAACGGTCGACTTTGAATATTTTGGTTTTGTTCGTACAATTATATAGGGAGGGCCAATTTCTTAAATGAGTAAATTGTCACGCTGGGCGAACTGCACCCAAACCCCACCCTGTCAACTGTCCTTTGATGGAATACAAAATGTAAGAAACAGCATTTATCAAAAATCAAGGTTCTTCCAATGATTCTCTTTAGAAAAAGAACCAAAAACGCGAAATTGAAAGATGACTTGAAAGGAGATCATGGATTGAGCGGAGCATATGACAAAAATCGAAAATTAAGCATAAGAGACATTGTGCCGACGTCGATAAGTCGGAATGCCTGAATAAAATATAACATGAACGATTTCTCTTTTGAAGTTATTGAAACGGTAATTTCATTTTTAATAATTTGTGTACAACTCAAATAATTGTAGACCATCGAATGTCTGCAGACGATAGGAAAGTTGGGGATGGAAAATCCTATTTGCCGTCTGCAGATAATTTTGGGAGACCTGCTACAACGATAAACATTCATGAAGGTGGGATGATTTTTTTCTTTTTGACTTTTTTTTTTCAAAAGCATTATATGATCAAAACACCGATGGAATCCATTATCTGCAATGATGCCGTCTTGAACTAAAGAGAATGAGCGGAAGGACATAAAAAGGAGATGAGAAACCACCTCTTGACGTTTTGCATGTTTCAGAGTATTTCAACACGCGCTATTCCATTTAAAAAAATTACGATGGACCACAATTATGGAAGGCGCTGGTTTTTGCAATTTGCATGTTAAGTTCCTAATTTGTGTTCTGACAATTATTTTGTCGCATTTGTCAGGACGAATTATCAATTTGTTATAATACCCAGTCCGAAATTCATTTTTGTTTCTCATTAAAAAAAAATCCATTATTTCGTTGAGTTTTGCGTTTTTCTCGCTGATAACTCAAAAAAGTCTCATCAACATTTGGCCAACATTTTTCGACTGATTGTTGTTCTCTCGTCATCGCTTGCCGTGCCAGCCAGCTGTTGTTATTGGGTCCCAGTGAATGTCATCTCAATCCGCAATCACAATCTCAGAAATGCTCAAATTTTTACTATTATTTTTGGCGATATCGATTCTAGCCGTCAATGCCGGCGGTGTGGACATCTCAAAATGCTCAACGGCCGATTTGATGCTCACTTCAATTTGCAAGCCGGTACGAATTGAAGTTTGAATATCGCAGTTCGAAAAATAATTTCAGAAAATGGAAAAACTGACGGCTGAGATTAAAAAGCATCCGTCAGGAAGCGGTCTTCCAGACCCAGAAACGCTCCAAAGAATGAAGGAATACTGCGATGAAACCAACGTGAGAATGCCGTTTTTTTCACAAAATTAAATGGTTTCGTTTTTTTTGCGTTTTCAGGCATGCGTCAGCAAAGCAGAGTGTCCGGCAATTCGTCAAAAACTCGGAGCATTTTCAAAGACATGCGAACGAATTGCATCTCTCGGATCACCTGTGGCTCAATGTTCCGCCAAGGTTAAACAATTCAGGATTTCACGTGACTTGATTATAGGCGGCATACGCCGACAAATGTATTGGGGGTAGATTTACGCGCGTGCGCCTTTAGCTATGGTCTCGCCACGTGTGAATACTTATTTTGGCATTTTCACGTAAACTGTTTAATTTTTCTCGGTCAATTTTTCAATTCCTTGCATTTCGAAAACTGCAAAAATTTAAAATTAGCGAAATCAGGCATTAAATGCGAAACAACCAGTTACTCCACGCGAGACCACATCGCCCGTAAATCTACACACCTTTTTTTCGAACGCCAACAATATATGCATTTGAAATATATACATTATTACTCTTGGAAAAAAAACGAGTACCTTAAATCATTTTGGACCATCGTATATGTTCGGGCCGAAAAAATTAAATTTCGAATTAACCAGTGGGAATTCTGGTCCAGACCTACGGTTAACCTACGAATCAAACTCACAGTAAACGTATTTTTGCGACTCTAATACTTGTGCATTTCTAGATTTTCTAGTGTAAAAAGTATGAAATTTTCAGCTGAAGAAGGATCCTTCGGTTCCAGACTGCGTCAAATGGTACTTCATGGACAAGGGACAAGTATGCGCGTTTGTCTCTTCATTCAGTAATTGTTGGACTTTTTCTAGATTACCACTTCGCAGAAATGTGAACAATTCAAAAAACAACGGTCATGTATTCTTGCGGAGATGAAGAAGAGATGCTCGGGTGATATCGAAGGAGACTTCAACAAAGTAATACTAAACTGTTTCAAATTAATGCGTCATAATTTTTAGAGCGGAGGACTAATTTCCCAAAATTCGGGATGCGCTTAAATGCAATTTATTCATAATCGAATTCGATTCAAAACTAGAATCAATTATTTTCATATACCGATTTTTTGTTCAAATAGTCTCCCGTAATTCACAATAATTTCGCCGCCAATGTCTCTCTCAATTTGTTTTGTGTATTCCGTTGTTGTTTTTCGATTGATTTCAAAGCCACTTTCATTTCGGAAAGTAACGTTTGATATCTCTCCTTGTCATTGAACCGCTTATTTTCCTATAAAAAGAATTATCATTTGAAAAAAAGAATGAAAAGACTTCTACCGATTCGCGAAGAGCTGTCCGAAGTTTCGTAACTTCTGCAACCGTTTCAGGAGTCGTCTCAAGTTGTTTTCTGAACCAGAAATATCGGAATCAAACATAGAAACTCTCAATATTACTTCAATTCGACAACGGACTGCTCCAATATGTTTCGTTCCAGACGTATTCCAGCCATGAACGTTTCTTTCTCCTCATTCACCGCATCCAATTTTCCATATAAATTCTTAAAACAGCACATTCCAATTTGAATTGATACCATTGCTCACCTTCAATTCTTTTTCAAGTCTCTCTCGGTTTTCTTGTTCGATTCTCCTAGAATTTTCGGTTTTCTCGATCAATTTCTGAAGATCGTCAAGTCCGTCAACAGCCGATTCAAGCTCTCAAATATTTCGCATTAATATGTATTCTATGAATCTCTCATACTACCTCTAATTCGCTCATCCTTCTTAATGCAAATCGATTCAATCTTGGAAATCTGTACAGCAAACGCTTCTTGAGCATCTTCCATTCGTTTTTCCCAACTTCTCTCACTTTCTCGAATTTGGGCTTCAAGATTAATTCGTTCTTTCAAATTCGCTTCCAGTTTTCTGATATTTCAGCCATTAAGTGAATGCTCATTCTATTTTTCAGCTTACCTGTTCGCCTGCGCAATCTCTATTTCTTTTTCTTTTAGTTTATCCTCATTTCCCTTCCTCTCCGCTTCCTCAATCTTCTGCTTCAATCCAATTATTTCAATTTTCAGCGAATTTTCATTCCGTTTCAGATTTTCGATGTCCTTATTCCTCTCAATCAACGTTTCTCCGAGCTGTTGACATCTCGCCAAATGGCTCGCCTCTTTTTTGTTCAATTGCTCTCTCAAATCATCAATTACTTCAGAAAATTTCAAAAATCTAAACAAATATGAGTTCGAAATGCGATTAAATCGAAGAATTCATACGTCGGCGAAACTTTCGATTCATTCTTTATCATTTCCATCATTTTCTTATCGTATTCCTCTCGAATCTCGGCTTCTCTTTGTTTTTCTTTTCGCTTCAAATTCTCGATTTCAGAATGAAAATCGGAGATCTAGAAGTTTTTTTTTAGACAAATGCTTAATATTATTATTTCATTATAAACCTTTTCAAGTAATTCGTCGTTTTCTTTAACCAACTCGTTTCGATCATTTCGTAACTTGGCAATTTCCGAATTTTGGCTCGCAATTTCTTTCCTATAAACACATTGAAGCTCCTCGAGCACTTCTACTCGAAATTGCTCATATCTAGCCTAAAAATACACACAAAATTTTCATAATTTCATTGAAAATACGAAATTACCTCTCTTTCTTCATTATCCAATTGCATATTCTTGATAATTTGTGCACTTTTCTGCTGCAACGTGGCAAAATTGTCGCGAACATCCTCATTTTCAAAGTTTTCGCGTTCAATCTAAAACCGAAATTTTGTTTTCAATTATTTATAGAAATACGTTTTTTTTTTGAAAAATCATACCGCTTCAATTTTCGCCCTTAATTGCTCATTTTCCTTGCTTAATTCGACAAAATTTTGTTTAAGATTTCGATAATTTTCTTGCGTCTTGAGCACCAGCTCTCGTTCAACCAGTAAAATCCGATTAAGCTCGTCAATTTCCGAATAACCGGTTGTCGTGGAGAAGAGAGGACCTCTTGGCGATCGGTTGGAAGTCATGACTAGGAGATCATCTGCAAATGTAATACAACCATTAAAAAATCCAAATTCTTGTTTGGAAAATATGGAAATAATGTTTACAAAATGCTTCAAAATTTTGAGGATTTTTGCAAAACGGAAATGGCATTCAACAGAGGAGTAAACAATAGAAGTGTTGCTGAAATTCGATGAATAGAGACGCAGCAAAGAATATGAATGAAAAGTGAGAGCAATGCTGGAGGTGAGCGCGCGCGCGGAGCACATAAGCCTTAATTGGGCTGAGCAGATGGCGAAGAGTGCGCAGACGAGTGTTGCCGACATCATTACCACCCTATTGATTTATGGATCGCTTGCTGGCGAATAAAAATTTATTTTCAACTTCGTACATATCTACACATTCGATTTATTCATTTTTCAGGCCAATAGCTTCCGCTTTCTCTCGTTGACATAATTGAGCATATCTGAGAAAAAAGGATTTTGATTTGTGATTACCCAAAAATATATTCACCTGTCCTTTGCCAATTTCAATATATACTTGGTCGCGAAAAATACGGCGAGTATTAATGAGAGAGTCGAGCCGACAAGAATCATACATAGAAGCACGTCTGAAATCGAACAGGTGTTTTCATAATTGGCCAGTCAAATGTCAAAGCGGGATCGAAAATCAACATTTTAAGAAAGCTCAAAAATCTATTTTTTTTTATTCTTGCGCTCGCGGGTTAATAAGTTTAGAAACCAAAAGGTTGCCAAAAAAAATCTATCAATCGATCCGACGAACAAAATAGGTGAATTTGGTGAATGATTCTTCGCTGCCGGATTATTGCACCACTAGCGCCGGGCCAAAATTAGATCACTTTCGATCCGAATACACTGCAACTGTAAAAAGGGCTCATTCCACCGATTTTCTGAATTACATATGCTGCCCCTGTGAACCAAATGGGATTTCTTCGCCAGTAGCAGTGGCTTCACAACTTTCATTTGATTATATTGTCGGCGTTAAACGACGGAGTAGGTACGAGCAGTTCGAGGCCAGATCGACTACGAATTTCGCATGTATGACGTCAGGGGTACTCCTAGGACGTTTTTATCAATCACATTACTGAATTCAACAGCCTCTGACGACAGATGACCGTTTTTTTTTCTTTTAGAACGTAGACTACATATTCTTTACATAGCATTCTTCGAAATAAAAAAACACGATTCTGAGAATTGCTTGTCACAATTTTCCGTTACATATAAAACAGCAAACACCTTTAATTACCGTACCCAAAACATTTTAAACGTATTATTGTCGTCGTCAAACGACTGAAGAGAGGCGGGACCGTCAAATTCGAGAAATCAGTATAGATTTAAATTTATCGTTGACTAAATATTAAATGCGCGTACACTATAATGCAATGTACGCAATCTCGCGTACTTCTCGCTGTCTCGAGAAGCATTGACACCAGAGCTGCACGGAACTCATATTTTCTAAAAAAGGAATACGGAACACGGTACGCGGAACAGGAAAATGTCACGGAAAACGGAAGACGGAATTCCGTGCAGCTCTGATTGGCACATAGCCAATTATTTTTTAAATTTCGTCAATTCGTTTGACTTCGACAATATTAACAAAACAAATTGTCAGCGTCAAACGACTGAATGGAGGCGTGACCTTCAAATTCGAGAAATCAGTGTCGATTTAAATTTATCGTTGACTGAATATTAAATGCGCGTACACTATAATTCAATGTACGCAATCTCACGAGACGCATTGGCACATAGCCAATTATTATTTTTTAATTCCGTCCAGCCGCTTGACTTCGACAATAATTTTTGAAAATTTGAACAACTCTGCCCAAAGTGTTAATATCAAACAGATGCATCTGGGAGAGACGAGGAGTGTAAATCATAAAATAGAATTTGACGAAGAATAGATTGGCGGTAGTCTGTTTCTGGGTTCGAACTCCTGGTGTTCTATGCACAAACCAACTTTTGTAGTTGAATTTCCTTTCCTTTATCTGCGGGCATATTTCCCTCAAAAATCTTACCATCGTCTTGGGTGAAATTCAAATAATTGTCAAACATCAGCACCCTTAAATTTTCAAAAATTGTTGTTCTGCCTCAGTATATCTTCCCAAATAAGGAAATCTCTGTGGAATACTCTTCCAAGCAACCAAAAAGGATCGCCATAAAAATATATACTTTTATGAGAATGGAATGTGAATATTAGAATAGGAAAAAAAAAACAAACATAACAAAGAAGGTTGGGAGGGACGATGAGGGCTAATCACAAAAAAACCAATGTCGTGTGTGAAGACTATATATTAAAAAGAAAGCTATACCACGAATCTATATTTCTTTAAATGATATGCCGGCTATCAAAAAGAAAGAAAAAAGAAAAAAACGAAGAAATAACAGCAAGTTTTGTCAATTTGACAAAAAAAGTCAAATTAAAACACACAAAGAAATCGATTTTCTACCTAAACAACCACTGGGCGGCGGAAGAAATCATAGAGATCGAGCATCGACACATAATAATGTAAAGAAGTTCCACAAGAGAAACAAAACAAATATTTAAATGGAAAACTATAGAGGCAGATAGTATGCAATACATTATCGAACAGAAAATGCTATATCTAGCGAAAGATAGTGTTAGAGAAAAAAAAAACGAAAAAAAAACACCAACAAAACAGGATTGAGACTGATTCGATAGAGAGGAAGAGATCACAAATACCGAAAATTGTGACAATTCGCAAAAAAATCCTGAATTTCACGAGACTTAAGACTTGATGAATAGGTGGTATCACAATTAGACAAAAAAAAACAATTCGAGACGGGGGTGAAACCAAACGGGTTAGATGAATAATGGGATAGATGGGGGTGATGAATAAAAGACAAAACAGGACCCAGATTGGAAAGCATCGAGTATCGAGAAGAATGGTACCGATAGTGGGAATGATGAACAAAATACAATTTTTTGCATTCAAACGGCAGTAAAAATAGATAATTTTAAACATATTATAATAATAAATATTATTATAAATATATATATAGCGATGGGAGTGGTTAATAAGACTTAGCAAGAACTATTCTAAATCACCGAACTATAATACCAAATTTGGGGATGATGTTATATCAAAAAATATTAGAATGATAATAATAAGGAGAAAAAACAAACGCGACGTGAACGACTTGAAAGCGTTTAGATAACAGCCTCCCATTTAATATAAAGAAATTCCGGAGAAAAAGAGATGATCTACAAAAAAACATGTTCATTCGACCTGCAGACAATTTGAAATATTACCTTTAAAGCGAATACCTCTCCTATCCGACAACGAAATTGCGCTGGTCTTCATATCGATGCTCATTCGAATACTGGAAACCGATAAATTCAAATCTACATCACGTATAGCTAGAATCCTACCATGTTTGCAATAAATCGTTCCGCGGTCTGCGTGAGAACATCAAACTCGAAACGTTTCGCAAAATCGGCAATTACATCAATATTATCAGCTGTAAATATTTCATATAAATTTTTAGAGAATGAAAAAAATGAAATTACCTGTCAAACCGCAATAATTGTTCTCAAGAACCGCAATAACCTTGCTAAAGTCCTTCCATTCAACATCAATCCGCATTTCACCCTTCATCGGATCATAAGCTTCGATGCATCGGGCAAAATATGGTGACGAATTCGCCAAAAGTGATTTTGAAAGCTTCAAAAAATAGGGCATTGCCAAATTAGATTGAAACTCTTACCACATGTCTTCCAGACTCGCCTTTGAACACAATCGTGATCTTGCCGTCATGGTAAAACTCACTAAATCGATGACATCAACATAAAAGTGGACTCGGCTAAATTCTTACTGTGACAACGCTTCGCGCGATTTCGGTGGACAATTTTCGCGTTTGTGTCGCGCCAAGTACCATTCGTTCGAGAAGCCGCTGTTGCACACTTCGCACAAAATCATTCCTTTCTCCTGCTCTCCGATGTTTTCTTGGGCGATGACCACCAACTTTCCGCTATCTTCAACATTTTTCGGATGATCACCGCCATTCGGAAAATCCTGCGATATGAATCCGGGCGATGTGGAACGATCATGCCTGCAAAAAAAAGCTCAAAACCATTAAGATTCTCGTGATTGGATTACCTTTGACTTGTTGTGCTGTCAGGAGCCTCCGGCGATTTCGCCGAAGGTGATTTCGAGTCAACATTATGCAATTGCTCTTGAGTAGCACCTGATTGAGTGGTAGAATCTCCCAAAGGAGCCGAAATTATCACAGCATTCGTGTTGTTATCCGGAGAATTCTTTTTCGATGGCAGCCTCTTCGGCTCTTTGATGACCTTATTCATGATTGGCGCATTCGTTGAAACTAGAATAAAGATTGATAATAATAAAAATGAAATTTAAAGCAATACATTTCTGATTCAACACTTCAGGACAAGTTGTTCGGTGTCTTCTCAACGAGTAATCCGATGACAAAATCCTAAAATCCACAAATAATCTTGTTACAACCATTAAATATCCTTACTTTTGGCATCCTGTGCAAGTGTGTGGCCTACCATTGGCCTTTTTCTTCATCACCACTTCCTTATTTTTTCCAGCCTCATTAACTATCGGCGACACAGTCTGTGGAGGCTGTGATACCACCGATGTTTGTGATGGCTGCTGCTGTAGAGTGGCACAAATTTGCGGCGGCGCAGATTGTGGAATAGACTGTTGTTGCGATGTCAGCTGAATTTGCTGAGGAGCATGCATTGGTGGAAGATGTTCAGCCATCGATGAGTGTCTCTGAACCATGGCAGGATGATGCCCTTGATTTCCAACAAGAGTGGAGTAACTATTACGGCGCTCTAATAAAGAATCAATTAAACGGTGTGCTAGTGTTTAAATGATTACCAAAGTCCTGATTGAATGTGCTGATTGAAGGCAGCGAAGCAGCCATACTTGATGAAGCCGGATGGTAGAGCGTTGTTGGCGGATAGTGCGGGATATTATGATCAATGCTAGGTGAAGCCAACGATGGAACTCCAAGACTTGACGAAGTCGACAATGGCTGGAGAGACGTAATAGTGCTGAAATCATCAGTTAATTAAAATTCCTGAATTTCTAATCTACCTCTTCTCATTCTCCTCGGTAAAAGTAGAATCCGCTTCAGCGAGCTCAGTTCTCGGTCTTTTGCCTTCAATTCCTGCCATTTCCTCTTCTGCAGATCTTTTCAACTCTGCAGCAATTCTCGCGGTCTCTTTCGACGCCTCTTCATCCATATATTCACCACATCGACTACGTCGCCATGATGGCAACGAATGCGGCGGATGCGTCATCCAGGTTGGTGTCAGCGGTGTCATCATGCCGTCTGTGGAGATTCTCGGAGAGTGTGGAATCATCATACCCTGCGGTGTTGGTGGCTGATGCTGTTGGGGCATGGAATGCTGATGTTGAAGCTGATGTTGCTGACCATTGCTCTTCTGCGGCTGATGCTGCAATTGCTGGTGGATTGCTTGATTGCGCGAGTTCTGATGTTGAAGATGGTGCATTGGCATCTGCTGCTGTTGAACCATCTGATGCTGCTGAATCATATGAACTTGCTGCATAGGCTGCTGATGCTGCGATACATTTTGAGACTGCATCTGATGAATCTGAGATTGCGGTTGCTGATGAACAACTTGTTGGAACTGCTGGTGTTGCTGATTCTGATTCTGCATCGTCGGCATGTTCTGATGTTGTTGGAACTGATGTTGTTGCTGATTCATAATCTGTTGCTGACTTGATTGCCGTTGAACTCGATGATACATATTCTGCGGCGGTTGTTGCTGATTGTGTATATCGAGTTGGTGTTGTTGTTGTTGTTGCATTTGCTGCGAGTTCTGCACATGATTAGCATTTTGGAATTGATGATGCTGAATGCTTTGTTGCATCAGCTGTTGGTTCTGTGTCATCGGCTGATTTTGAATTTGAGATTGCATCGGCATGTGGCTTTGAATCAAGTTCTGATTTTGCATCTGATTCGGGTTCTGCATTTGATTCTGCATCTGCATCTGATTTTGCATCTGATTCTGACTTTGCATCTGATTCTGATTTTGGATCTGATTCTGACATTGTATTTGATTCTGTGGTTGATGCTGAATCTGAGACTGGTTCGGCACATCGTGTTGATTCGATCCTTGATTCTGGTGCATAGGCAATGGGTTCTGCATCTGCTGCTGATTCTGAATCAGTTGATGACCCGACATCTGCTGGTTCTGAATCTGCATAGACTGCTGCTCGTTTTGAATCGGCTGCTGATTATGGGTCAGCTGCTGCTGAGCCTGTATGGACTGCTGGCTTTGAGTCTGTTGCTGATTTTGCACAGGCTCTTGATTTTGGACCTGCTCTTGGCTCTGCATTGACTGCTGGTTTTTCATCTGCTCTTGGTTCGGCATTGCTTGTTGATTCATTTGTTGTTGGCATTGAATCAACTGCTCGCTTTCAATCGGGCTCTTGTTCTCCATCTGTCCTTGATTCTGGGCGTGTGGATGGTTAGCAATCTCTTGATTTATCTGCATTTCGTCCCGCCGTTGAATATGCTCCTGGCCTGGCGTCTGCGGCTGGCTCTTCGTTTGGCTCTGTTGCTCGATCGCCGACTGATTCTGAGTCTGTGGTAGGTTCTGAATCGGTTGCTCATTCGGCATCATCTGAGCCGGGTTTTGCTGTGACACCATATGTTGCTGCTCAGTTAGCTGATTGTTTAGCCCTTGGTTTTGTTGGAATTGCTGATATTGATTTTGGAGCGGTGGTTGCTGCTGTGACTGCTGATTCTGGGATTGAGGTGGTCCTTGCTTCTGCTGTTGTGGAAGTTGCATTTGTTGTTGATTTTGAACCAGCGGGTTATTTTGAACTTGTTGCACATTCTGATTCTGCTGATTCATCATCGGCTGAGACGCAAGGGGCTGATTTGACAGATTCGCCGGCGGTTGCTGCTGCTTTCCATTTTGCCCTTGCATAATATGCATCGGCGGAAGTGGCGCTAACTGCACCTTTTGCAGATTCTGATTCTGCTTTGATTGTTGGAACGACATTCGCCGCTGTGCTGACGAGTTCGGAATCATTTGAATCTGATAGCTCGAACTCTGCTGAACATGCGACATTTTCCGGTTGTTCGGCTGTTTCGGCGGCAAATGCGTAATCGGTTCAGTCGATTTCACTTGTAGAGCCTGCAAAAAAACATGTGTGTGCGAATGCGAAGGGAACACGACGGAAGAGGAAAACGTAACAATAATGGAACGCTTAACTAAATCTCAATGACAGTGGCCGAATAAGTTTCTGGTGTATGACTAACAGATGTTCGTAATTTTACAGCACATGTCCGTGCGTCTGGTGTTCGCTATTTCCCACGCATCTGCGTCTCTTGCCGAAAGAGCCTCACCTTTTGATTTCCAAATACCGTCGGTTTCGTTGGCGGTGGCTCTTGCACCATGGCAAGTTCGCCAGTGCTTGGCGCAACTCCCGCTACCGTGTGTCTTCGAACAACTGGCTGAATCGTGGCAGCTGTCGGTTGTGGAGGCAACGGTGGAGTCGTAAGTGGCATCATCATGCACAAAGCTGGTTTCGCATTGATTTCGGCAATCGTCAATTTATGAACCGCTTGCCGATGTCTCTTGACGTTTTTTCGACACGAATACATCTTTAGGCATTCCGGACATTGATACTCTTGCTTCTTTTTCGCCACATCCACCGTTAGTGGATCCAATGTTTTGTCAGCGGGTGGAGGTTCCACAGGAGATTCCCTTAAAATCAATAGACACATAGAATTCAAGACATTAACAACGAGTATACCGTGACAATGGTTCCGTCGTGATTATGCTATCCATTGGAGATGCCGATTTCGTCTTATCCGAAGAAAGACTAAATAACGAATTAGTCAGTCCTCAAATTTCAAAAAATACTTACTCAAACTTCGTTGTAGATTCGGCTCCTTTTTTCTTTTTCTTATCCGCCTTCGGCGACTCCTTCGGTTTAAATGTGATAACCTGTGGAGGCTGATGAAGGCCATTCAAGCTCGAATACGTAATCTTATGCTGCGACATGCTGTTCGAAACAATCGTCTGTTGGTTCGACGACGTTTGAATCATCTGAACTGAAGCCTGAGCAGAAGAGACTTTTCCAGAGGAGACGACGTAGCTGAAAATAATAATTAGTATCAGTACTGCACTGAATTGAAAACCTTTCAGTTTTTGATTTTTTCGAAATCTCCGAGTTCGGAATCGGCTTCTTCGTATCCAAATCAACACAATCCACCTTGAAAAGCATTTCTTCTCCATCTTCATTCTCAAAATCATCGAAGTCATCAAATTCATCAAAGTCGTCATCGTCAGTTCCCAAATCGCTGAATGTGCTCGTAAACTTCTGACCCGAAATCAATGGTCGCGAGGTGATATGAACATCATTCGTGTTTTTAACTTCCACAACTTCTGAATATTCCAAGATATTTTAAATCATTGATTCAATGGGTCTTACCGAATCCTTTGGGTTTCTGCTCCAGTTGCGGCGGTTTAGTAAGAATCGGCTCATGATGCGATGCGGATGTGGTCGTAGTTCCGTTGTAGAACAGTTTTTCCGGACTATTCATTTTCATCTGATTGTGTTGAGCACGAAGATGCTCACCAACAGTAATCTTGAAAAAACACATTAAAAGATGAATATTGCTTCCGTAAATACCCAAGGTTTCGCAGGTGACAGCGATGTCTCAGAGCAAACAATGTAACTTGATGTTCTCGGTCTCGGTGGAGGTATCATTTTCAGCGTTGACGGTTTTGCCGTTCCATTCAAATTCGTATAGCTTACGGTAGCAGTAGTTTGCAGTAAAGGAGCAGTTAATGACGTCGAAGTGGAAGACGTTGTCGGTTGAAATTGTGTCTGTGATTGCAACGACGGGGTCACTAACGGCGGTCGTGGAGTTTGCGGCTGTGACGAAGGAGCAGATCCAATCCTAATAAGAAATCATTAACAATTGGTTCCTTCTCACTCTTTCTTACTTGTTCACCGCCGCTTTGCATGTGGCCAAATGTCGTTTCAAATTGCTCGCCGAGCATAAAACTCGTGAGCAATACTCGCAAATATTTACTGAACCGCCAAGTTTGGGTGTTCTAAAATTTAAAAAAAAATCAATAAAAAGAATGACTGAAAACAAAATGCTGCATAACATCACAACATCTTTACAACATCCTTACCCATCGTCCACCTCATCCTTCCCGTCGCTCTTCGGCGATATTGAATTCGTAACAGCTGGACTGAACGCTGGACTTCGTGTGGAGCACGTCGGCGTCGGAACAGAAGACGACGTCGACGAGAACCACGACGATGACGTGATGGATGGTAAGCTCCCTGAGGCACCAGTACCCAACGAGGATGGACCCGCCGATGACGATGAGAAACATTGAATTGGTGTCGGCGGTAGTATGACAGCACGCGACTGTGGCGCTAATGGTTGATACATATGATGTTGTTGATTGTATGGATTTGGTATCGGCTGATTATAGGATGAATCTAGCGAGATACTGCTGCTGCTACTACAGGCTGTCTGATAGATTTGCGAGGTATATTGTTGTGTAGAATTGGGATACTGGGCTGGGAATGACACGTTCGTTGAAGGAGGCAGATTATTGATGAATTGACTAGATTGCTGCGGCGGATGATGATTAACAATTTTAGTTTTGATTGGCGATTCGGACTGAAGCGCCTTAAGAAGCGCGCTGTTCTTTGGGATTCGGCTAGAAGTGACATTGGGCGTCACAACTGATGGAGGTTCCACAGATGTCTCATTCTTCGGCTTCTGTCTTCTCGATTTCGATTCCTGCGAGTTTGTCGAACCGCGTTTCGGCTTTTTGGCGGCGGGTTCCGTCGAATCCGGGCTGAGTTTACGTTTTCCTGCCGCCAACGCTGCCGCAGTTGCGAGTTTCGCTCTTCTGAAACACCGAACGACACTACTCAACACGAACACAGTACGATAAAAAGAAAAAAAATATGATAGAATTGAGAAAAGTGAAGCAAAAAACGAACTCTTCGTTCGGTGCGCCATACTCTGCAATAAACTGCTTGCAAGTCGTATGGTGTCGTTTCAAACTTCTACTCGATGAGACAGTCTTCTTGCAGGAAGCACATCTACAAAAAATATCTTTAATTTGTTGAATTATTTGTGCCAAATCTTACGCAAATGTCATTGGTGTTCCTTGCGATGATATCGATGCCGACGATGAGTGTCCAAGCGGATCATCAACATCCAACGAGAGCGGCATTACAAGATCAGCTTCAAATCGCTGCGGATTCGGGTCAAGCGTATTGATTTCTTCAGTTTTCTGTTGGCCGATAGGATCGAGACGAAGCTGCTCGTTCAGACTTAAAGGATCATTGAAGTCTTGACCAAGTAGAGAATGTTGTGTTGAGTTTGATTCGCTTTGGGACCAATCAGAATAACCAAGATCATCATTTACCTAGACAAAAATAGAGAATGACGAATTAAACTCTTATTAGAAACAATACCTTATAGTCAAAACTATTCAACATATACGAATCCGGCGAATAGACACTACTCAGCGTTGAAAGACTATGAGGTTGATGCTGGCTATTATGCTGCGGCGGTGGAGTTATGAGATAAGTTGGCTCAGGAACACTCGTCGAGCTTAACGTTGGATTCGAACTAAGGGGTTCATTGAGCTGATTCTGGAGAGAATTCTGGTTTTGCTGCGGCTCAGATTGTTGGTGCAGCTCCTTGTGTCGCTGTTGCTCTTGTTGCCTCTGCTGTTCTTGTTGAATTTGTTGCTCTTGATTACGCTGTTGTTCCTGTTGACGTTGTTGCTCCTGTTGGCGCTCTTGTTGTCTTTGTTGTTGTGACTGCATCTGAAGTTGCTGTTGCTGTTGTTGTTGCTGTTGTTGCTGTTGTTGCTGTTGTTGTTGCTGCTGCTGCTGCTGCTGTGCATGATGCTGAACCTGGATGTGATGATTCTGATGATGCAATGGCGCTGGTGGAGGTGGCATCGCGGCAATACTAGTCTGATTCTGCGCAATTATGATCGGACAAGCTTGGCGATGACGCTGAAAGAAAAACAGTATTGCAATATAGTAGTAGGATGATGTGTCATCGAGTGGAAAGTACACAAAAAATTTAAAAAAAAATCTCACCTGCAAATTTCTCGACGTGTTGAACAGCTTATGGCATCCATTGCAAGTGAACGTCGGCTTTGGCAAATTCGAAGCGACTGGTTTCGGTGCTGTGGACGTAGAGGGCATAGAAAGGCTTGACTGAGAAGAGTTTCTCTCGGATGGATCTTTCATTGCTGACTTCATTGCAATCTCAAGCAAGTTCCTTAAAAATCACAATGATTCAATTAAAGTATTAAATTGAAATGATTACCGCTTGACTTCACTATGTATAACTTCTTCATCCAGTATAACTTTCTTATGCTGTGCAGCTCGAGCACCACCAGATTTACGCGGTGGTTTCGGATTCGGGTTAGAAGAATTCCTGAATATTATCAATTAAACTTCAATTCGGCGGTTCAATTGAACTCACTGTCCATTCTTCGCCGTTTGATTGGAATGAATCGATGAATTCGGTTGCTTCTGCTGTTGTCGCTGCTGCTGGAAATTCTGTTTCTGCGGTTGTCGCTGTTGCAGTAGCTGAGGTGGTTGCTGCAGAACAACTTGCTGTGGAGTCTGCTGTTGCACTTGACGCTTCTGTTGAGACTGTTGTTGTTGTCCTTGTGACTGTTGTTGTGATTGTTGTGGTAGTTGTGGTTGAGAAGGCTTCTGCATATGTGGCTGTTGCATCTGCACCTGTTGTGGTTGCGGCTGCGGTTGAGGTTGTACTGGCGCCGGCGCCAATTGTTCCAACATCACCTGCGGCTTCAGCTCATACTGCGTCAGCGGCTGGTCATACTTTGGCTCATAACTCGTCTCATACTTGACTTCAGTAGGCTCTAATGTATCGAATCGAACCTGTGGCATCTCATACAACGACGTCGAATGATCATAATCATTAAAATCCAAAGTACTATTGCCAAAGCTATTCGGGTCAAGGTAGCCACCCATATGATTCATCTCAAGTGACATAACATCGCGCTGAGTGCCCGGCTCCATAAGACTGGTATAGTTGCTATAAATGAGAGAGCATAATGAAAAAATAAAAAGAAAACCGAAAATCCATACCCGAACTCATCGATCGATGATGGATTAGAGAGCGAAGTGCCCTCCATCGAACTTAGTTGCGCATTTACCTGAAATGAAGAAGATTTTGAGAATTTATTCCACTTGATTTGCTATGCCCATTTAATTTCCTTCAACGTTAATTAGATTTCTCAAATATTAATACGAGCGGCAGTCGGCAGTTGTTTATTCCCTCTGTGCCACCGTTGACGAAAATAGAAAAAGCCGTCAAATTGCATGAATAAATTATTGACGCGTTTCGCATTTTTTTTCCAATTTTTTCTTTATTATTAAATAAGACTTTCTTAGTTTGCGCGCTTATTTGAACTACACGGTCTCGATTCCTGTTTACATTGCGATTTTGAAGTATTTGACTTTGTACGTCATTATGTATTATAGTTATAATAGTTAAAGAAGATTAAATGGTATGCGAATTCTCGGAAATACTTCAAATGCCAACACCACTTAAAAATGAATACTTAAAAATGAATATGGTTCATATCTCAAAATTAGAAAAAAAAAACTATTCGTTTCAATAACATTCTTTTAAAAAAACGACCACTTGGAGTGGGGGAAAAAGTAAATAAGAAGGAATTATATTTCTTTGAATAAGTGGCTTCAACAGTAGATTAGTTCAAATTCCAACAATTAGATTCCAACAATTTCAGAAATTTTCTTTTTTAAAACAATCTAGGCAAGAATTTTGCGAAAAAAAAACCTTTAGAACGCCGTTTCCGGCGTTTTGCTCCTTAATCGAGCTCGTCTTGATTTCCAGAGGCGGCTTCTTCGGATTTGTCTTATTTTTTAATCGCGGCACCGCCTCTTCCTCTTTTGAAGGCGGTTTTCTCGATGGTACGCCTGGTTTCGCTTCTGCTTCTGATGTTGTTGACGACGTCGACGGCGGTGGCGGCAGACACGTGAATTGTGTTGACGAACTGCCACTCACAAGCGGACTCGCGCTCAACCGTCTGAAAAATCACAAAAATTAATTCCGGACATTTTTTTAATAGTTTTTTTTTTCCATTATTTCATTTTTAGTCTTGAAAGAAAGATTGAACAAAAAGAAGACGATAGAAGTCAAGATAAAGCAAACGTCTCTAGAGAATTGCCAACAAAAACGAGCAAAAGATGCAATATCAGATACAGGAGGCAAATATTTTATTGAATTTTTATTGATATTTTTATTTTCATTATTTGTTTGCCCGGTGTGCCCTACTTTATTTATTATACACGAAAAAACTGAAAAACAAGAAAAAAGTAAAAAAAAAACAATGAAGAAGAAGAAGAAGATGATGATGATGATGGTGAAAAAGAAGAAGGAGAAGAAGAAAATAAGGACGAAGACAGGGAAATGGGAAAAGATGAGAGTGGGAGTTATTCAAAATGCAGAATAAGAAAGCATTTTGCCGCTCATAAAATCTGATTTTTCCGATCGGTAGTCCAAACTTCTGTGTTTCTTCTACTAATTCATGGCAACAAATTGAAATTTGAATAGGCCCAAATTACAGTAGGTCAAATTACAATACATGTGCGCTTTGGAAACATTTTCGAACAAAATAAACGGCTATTCTCGTTTTCTCAGGCAAATTTGCTTTTCAATTAAAGGAGAGGCCAGGGAAAATGCAAAAATCAACGTCATTTTCCCACATATCTGTAATTTTTTGTGATTTTCCCGTGAAACCCACCGTACTCAGTTTTGGTATGACAGGCGAATGTTCAATATAAAGAAAATTGATTGAAATTCTGCTAATTAAAACAAAACCGTGAAAATCGAGCGTTTTTCTACAGATTTTAACGAAATTTCACAATTTTCAGCTTTTATTGCTGCCATCCCGAGAAACAGAAAGTCCATGAGTGTTGCACTAATCCAATTGGAATAGCAGATAAAAAGTCTCCCAATTCTTCCCATAAACATTCTGTGCAAGAGCCAAGCTACAGTGTTCGGCTTCGAAATCGAATATAACAAACGAATAGATCGACGCAAAAATGGCACAAAAATGAACAAAAAAACGACATATTCTTTTCGGGACCCCGAAAAAATTGGCGAACAAAATCAACTGGTTGGGTGGACGGGCGGGAGGGGGGGTCTTCTGACGGCAACAAAATGGGGGATGAAATGTCAGAAAGAAGCGGAAAATTGAGGCTTATTTGGCACACACACACGCTCGACTACAACATGATGAATAGCAAGCGATTTGGTGAGGAGTAGACAACTCTTCAAACTGCTCTACATACACACACACAAAAAAGGGACAAAAATTGGCGTTATTTAATGTTTTTTACTTCGTTTTTTTTTTGTCGTAGCCGTGTTCAGCAATAAATGTAAATTTCTCGCGGTTTGAGTTTTCTATTTATGGAAAATTATGACTCACACTCTCACAAACATCGTTAATGAACCAATAAACATTATCCCCAAAGGATGATTACTCAAAAAACCCAATTTCTTTTAGACCTAATTTTTTTCGAATATCTCAGAAAACTTCAAAAGTAATATCCAATCGTTTTCGATTTTCTTTTGTTCGCTTTGGCAACAATGAGAAAAACGAAACGAGCAAAAATAGAGAGATGTGAAGATGGCTGAAATGGGACCAATAATTGCGTCATTCACTTAAGAGAAAAAAACTAAAATTCGTTTAAAGACCACCCGCAAAGATTCCCAAAAGAAAAGAGAAAAAGTGCTAATATCCTAATAAAGAGCGCGTATGTCCAATCGATTGATGGGGTGGCGGATTAAGAAAAGAATTGGTGGTGTGCGATTGGCGTGCTAATGCGCCACGAAAGCGGTGGACAGGTGCACCAATCTGAAATGGTCCCCACAATTAGAGATATTGGGAGTGTTGGAGAAAATTACTATGATTGCTAAAAATGAAGAACGTATAAAATTTGAATAAAAATAACAAATTGGTGGCGAAAAAATGAACGGAAAATTTTTTATAAATGCCTACGTCAGAGTGTGTATAAAAATAAGGAATAAACAAGAAAAAAAACACCGAACATGTGCATATGGCACATGCATACAAAACAACAAAAGTGGCTGAGTAACATGGCACATTTGCGAAAGGATGGCTGGAGATGGTGAGAGAGAATTGGTGAGGAGCGGAGAAAGAAAGAAACACGCAGATATCTAACACAAAACAATTTACATGTCATTCTTCATTCAATTCAATGTCTCTTTTCTTTGTGTTCAATTTTGTTTCAATCAATAATCGAACATAAGTGAACGAGAGCTCGAAATCTAAAAGTGTGTTGCAACAGGCGCAATTTTTTTTTAGAAAAACGAACGAAAATGAGAACGAGAGAAGGGAGAAAAAAATAGTTTCGCAACGCAGCTGGCTGGAAAGCAAACAAAACTATTCTCGCCGGTTGGAGGGCGACAGAGAAGTCAGCCGAATTGAACGCAACAAAAATTTTGTTGCTCCATCCACTGGGGTTCGAGAAAAGCAACATCACAAAATATGGTTGAGATTTTTGAGATTCGGCAACTAGAATTTTGACAATTCGTCGCTAGAAGCTTCATTCCAAAAATAGGCAATCGACGATTGTAAATTTCGCGCGCCGCGGGGTTCCGAGAGCGAAAACAATTTCAGGCGCACTAAATGTTCTAACAATTATCCATAGAAGATTGGCACAATTCAACGCCTCGTCTATAAGGAAATAACTGTCAGATAAGGTGCGAAAAACTGAAGTGACATATGCTGTTCGGCGGCAACCAATGACAAGGTGCGAATAAATGCTCTTCGCAAAAACTGGCCAGTCGGAATGTATCAAAAGATTAATAATACTATTCACAGCACTTTATAACAGTACTTTACGAAATATGTGGATGATAAATGGCACAATAAAAGAGACGGTGTCTTAGAATAAGAGAAAACTGTTGACATGCGTGCTAGAAGTTCTTGATCGTTTCAACATTTCTTTAATCAGATCATATGGATACCTTTTCGAAATAAATTGGATTCGGAACAAAAATTTGAAGAGGCTCGATGAAAAAAAGTGATCTTCCTGCCCGTAAAAATCGGAAAACTGCGCACATTTTTATTACTTTTAATTAATTCACTAAAAGAAATGTATAACTCAAAATTTGTCTCAAACAATATGAATTTTTAGAATTCAAAAATAATTTTTAAAAACAAGTTGGAAGTTTTCTAAATTTTAAGAAAATCTGAAAATATTGAATATTTTAAGGCAGAGCAGATGAAAATTGTCAAGAATACAAGGAATGAGCATATGGGTCTGAACGCGAAAATAAAGATTAAGACTAAACAATCAACACCAGATTGTCGTTTGACATTTTTAAGATCCGGTGGAGACAAAACCACTGCTGTGACTGCTGCTGCTGCTGCTGCTCAGCCAACAGAACGATATCTGGCCAGATGTGGGAGAGGACGAGGACGAACGGACCAACATGTTTCCAATATATAATAGTGGAAAAAAAGGGGGGGGGGTATAATTACTACGTGATGGATGAGAAGACGCGCAGGCAGAAGAACACAGTCATTTGATATGTGGTGGGGGCCGTTTTTCTTGGCGATCCGGTTTAAAAACGAGCCGGAGCCGAACACCACTCAGAGCAATCGACAGCGACGATTCGCGCGTTTTACCGCAAATCCCCATTTTCCAATTTTTTTTTCGTCGTCGTTTTCGTCTTCTTCTTCTTCCTTCACACCACTAATGGACCGCCGCCGCCGATGACGACGACGACGACGACGCTTTTAACAACAAGAGCCATTTTTGAGTGGCTGGAAAATGAGATTTTCGACACAATGCTTACTCATAATGCTCATTACGAAGACGCGGATTTCAAAGGATCATCGCATAGCTAATAATGTAGCCATGTTGGTTGAAAATAACATACAAAATCCGATTATGTGGAATACAGAAAATGTATTGATTCAAGACGAAATCGTGGTTTCCACTTATTCAGATATTTGGCTTATTCCCGTTTCAATATAAATTATTAATTATATATTAGTTTTCTGAGATGGATCTCTCGGGAACACACACACACAAAAGAAGTGCATATTCATAAAATTAATGAGCAATAGCGACCCATATTGATTTCAGCAACAAAAGTAAGAACAAATAGATAAAAACAAATAGGAAACATTCGGCAATCGATTTGCCAAAAAAGCAATTAATTCGAAACACGTTTCTCGAGACCAGCGGGCAAACTATTATTGATTTTCGTCGAAACCCCAAACGATAGCTCAGAAAATGCTTTCAAATTTGGAAAACAGCTCATGCTCGTCAGAGCGTAGCATACCTTGTAAATCTCACATACATTTTTTTTTTGAAAATGACACTATCTTCGAAATTCAAGGAGCGAATTTAAAAAAAAACGTATTAAAAGCGGAGGATTAAATTAATACCTACGAAAACTCGTTCTCGAAGGTCTTATAATGAAAAAGGAAATTCTGCATTTGTCATTTTAATGAGATTTAAAGACCCAAAAATTAAAAAAAAGGCAATGTTTCTTATCAATTGACAATTAATTCTCATTAGCAGATATTAATTCTCGAATGTTACAATAAATAAAGTCTGAAAAAAATGCGTCGAGAATATGCCTGTTACACTTAAAAATCACGAACATCAAAGACAACCCGAAAAAAATGCTCCATTTTATGCTCCTCTAAAAACACGTCGGCGATGAAGAAGCAGCAACGCCAAGAAATTTGATGTTATCCCATTTTTCTTTCTACCTACTTCAACTCTCATAAATCAAGTTTTGATCAAAGATCGCAACTCATACAAGTTAAATAGTTTAAAGAAGAGATCCGGTGGTAAAAAAAAAGTATAGAAGAGCATGTCAAACTTCTTCTCTTCGGGATCGGATTTCATGCTCACCATCGTCGTCTCGTACCCTCTTCATCGTTTCTCATACTCTCGAGATATAGAATCGCGCGCGCAATAAAATAATAAAAGTCAAGTGAAGCGAATTTTCCGTGGGGACCATAATAGTGCGTTATATATCTTTTATATTCATGTTCGCCATCTGTTTCTCTAGGTCTCTCTATCTTTCTTTATCTAGCTCTAGAATTATTTGTTTTACACTTCCGACCATATGGGTGCAATTGCATCCGATTCACATAACGAGATGTCATAAATGTGTTTCAGTTCGTTTTTTTTCATTCGCCGCCTCGTTTTTTTTCGTCCTGTCATTGCGAATTGTTTCTTGCAGCACAAAAAATTATTACCCAACGTCAAATAATGGGGTCAGAGGAAATCATTCGACGAATAATTGAGAGAATACATCCAGGGTTTCAATAATAAACCGTAAACCAGTTTCACGTCACAGTCACAGGAATCATTGCTCTCAACAATCGGTATAAGGAAAAGCACAAGCTCGCTCAGCTGAAGTTCACGTGACCAACTTCCGGGATTTCATTTTTGTTTAAACGAAAAACTCGTAAATGAAGAAATTTGATCCTTATCAAAATCTGTGGTCAAAAACTACGCCACTCTTAAAGTTTCCTTCTCTACTAAAAAACGGCAGACATCTTAAAATTGAGTTTCCTAATCTATTTTGCAAAGAAAAAATAGTTCTGTGTGTTTTTAATGTGCATAGTTAAAGAAGGTCTTGAGCAAAATTGAGGATTTCTTATGTTTTCGCACTGACTGATTTTTATGTTTTGTTTTTCGTTTCAAAATGCAAATTAAATTATATAAAACATACTTTGGCAAGAAATGTTGCGTTAAAATCCGTCTTTATCGCATGTAATCATTTAGATTCCGTAGGTCTACTTTAAGGGAAATAATACCTCGAAAGGCACTGAAAAACTTCTGGACAATTTGATTATAACTAAAAATTAAACATAGAAAGCCAATATGGAAAAAAAATTAAATCGATGGTTTTCTGTATCGCGAAATTTTATGGAATAACATTGAGAAATCGAGGTATAAAACAGACTTCCTGGCTTTGAAATATACTTTAGGCATTTTTTGGCCTGATATATACTTTTGAATTTCATTGGCGAATTGTGGAACAACGCAATTAATATTCACGCGATCAATAGGACAAAGTGCATCAATCAATCGGTAGTGAGACGGGATGGCAATCGATCGAAAGGTCGTAGAAGATTGCAAAAAATCCCCTCCAAGGACCCCGCGCGTTTTTTTATGAGCTTTGTCTTGTCAAAACGATCGCTGAGAAAAAAAAAAGAAAAAAATCGATGAGAGAAAGAGAAAATAGATTGAACTAAATTGAACAGCAACAAAAAATCGAATAGTTTCTCCTAAAAATTTATCGCTGTTCCTTTTTGACGAAAAAAAGCCCAGCAATTCGAAAATGGTTATTGGGCGGCCTTGACAACGCATTTCAAGTCGAACACTTAAAACTGACCTCCCTTCAAACACTACGAGAGGCGAGTGGATGGGGGTTGTGGAAAAGAAGAGGCGGCACATTGAAGGGGCAACGGCCAACAATTTCTATCCTGTTCAAGTTCTTTTTTTTTCGCAGCCCCGAACATGATCGACTGAATGAAGGTCGCATTAATTATTGTACCCACAATGAAGCGTGTGAAAATTGCTCTCAACATTGTTGCCTTTATGTTTTGGGGATTCTGGTTCGCAGGAAAGCAAGGGCACCGGAAGGAAGTAATTCTAAAGCGAATCCAATCCTATTAATTACTAGGAAGAGCATCGCATAAGACATTTGAATAAAATAATCAGTTTTACTCGATTTTTCGTATATATTATATGGGAGGAATTTGATTGACAATCAGCCAGCCCGTGTAATTGAAATTCTAAGCAACTTCTCAATTGTAATTGCGGGAATACAAGAGTAGAATTATTTTCTTAATGTTGAGATACATTCGCGAATTGTTAAAATCGAGAAACTATTCCTATCTGTATATATGAATTATGAAACATCTGGTCGAAACCCTTGAAACATCTGGAACATTCTGTTTACTACTGTACATTTGAGAATATTACACAAATCAGGGGATCGGTTAGAATCCCAGGATACTCGGCAGTTTTTAAACAAAATTATGATACAAATGAAGAGTCATAACTAAATATAAAAAATAATAACCTTCCATAAAAAAATATTCTTTTTAAATTGTATGAATGTGCGAGAAAAAATCCGAACGATAAAACCTTATAAAAATTTGCGATCAGTGAGACGAAAAGCAATCGGTTTGGCGAAAAGCCAACTGCACGACATCTTTCGAAAATAAAAGAAAAAGATAATGATGATGATGAAGAGAACAGTGCGGGGATTTGAGGGGTCACACACACACGCATTCACTTAGCCGAAGCAATTAACACATTAATGCTCCTCTTCGAGCACTCATTGCAATTCAAACAAAAAATGGTTGAACTGGCAAAGACTGATGAAAAAAAGAAGTTAAACACGGAAATTTCAGTGAAACTGGTTTGCTGAGTCAACCAATCCGCATTCGGGATAGCGAAAAAGATCACTGCCATCCAACGCAACACGATGAAAAATTGGTGGCCCGCAAAACATAATAACTATGAAAAATTGAATGGAATACAAGAGAATATGCTGAAGGCAAATAGACGATAAGTGTTCGCAACATTTTCAATGTCGATACGTTGAAAAAAAATGAGGGAAGCTTTGGAGGTAGATCTGTTATTTGTTGCCATACAAAAAACAAAAACAAAAAACAACATGTTATGATATGCAATAATTAGAAGCAAGAAATAATACAAATTTGACTGTTTTTTGAAAAAAAAATGGTTTCTTTCCGGAAAAATGCAAAGAAGTTTGGAACAATTTTTTCAAATGTATTGTTACCAACAGAGAATAGGAAACCGAAATTTGGGGTTTATCGTACATTTGAAAATCTACAGAAACAGAAAATTTTCAATTTCTGTTGTTATTGAAGTGGCTCTTGTGTTAAAAATTCAATGTTGAGAATTCGATTTCAAAAACATCGCAATGACACGGACAGTTGTGTAAAATCGAAACACAACAAAGCTCGGACCAATAAAAAATTTAGAAAAAAAATCGATAAATGTCGGTTTTGCAGTTCATTGATCACGTGAGTCCGGAGAGGTGTCGAGATTGAAAACCGGAATAATGACTCAGTTGTTGAGAATTTTTGGATTCAAGATACAATAAAATCTACATACAATTTACTTTTAGTCAACAAGCAGTAACTGGCACCGTGCGTGAAGGCGAGAAGAAAAAAACGAGGAAACTTTGAAAGAAGCACTCATTTCACAAATACGCAGCACAATACAATAATTTTATCAGTTAGCGTTTTATCGTTCTACATTCGTCAATACTATCAATCGTATTCATTTTTCAACTTGAATAAAACCAATCATTGCGCAAATTTTGCAACCAAACACCATCACGGTAATTTTTTCTTTCTTTGAAGAGGACAGCGAAGTGGCTCTAAGGCGGATTACGTGCAGCAAAAATGTATAAAAAAGAAGAAAAAAGAAGGAAAAAAGACAGCAAACAAAATGACGTTGAACATAAGTATTTATACAGGAATGTCAGGTGGGATTGCAATTTCAGAAGACGGTCACGAGGCAACGCTTGCATCCTATTACTAAAACAATTCTCTACTATTAGTTATAGTTAATCAACATTACATATTCAATTTTTGCAACAAAATTAAGCAAGACAATTGCTATTCAAAAAAACGGAACACTTATCAAGACAATTTTGAAAAATAATTAATCATTTGCATTTAAAATCATAAATATCACCTATCAGCCACCACTAATCTCGTTATCAGAAACGATACCAAAAGTTTAATATTAATTGAAAATCTTAGGTCTAGAGAAATATACTTTAAAAAATGTCACAAAAACCAACTAGAATGTGTTTTTTTTTACAATACTCTCGACATTCACCGGCCTTTGCGGAAACCTAATTTCGACGCCGAAATCCAAATCATTTTGTGCCAACACAACAATGACAACAAAACATTGAAGAGAAGAAGAGAAATGGATTTACTCTCGTGAGCGCGAAAACGATTCAGAATGTCAAAAACTGATGGAAATGACGGATCTGAAATGAATACGAGCAGCGACAGGAGTACGAGAGCACAATTGTCGGCGAAAGGCGCTTCTAGAATAATGACCAAGGCGCAGACAAATGCATTTAATTAGATTGCGGTCGCAATATTCAAGAGGTTCTCCCCATTTGTCGGTCATTTAAACGAAAAGCGCATTGAACCTCCATTGAAACAATGAGCAAGCAAATCAATCGATCATCATGCGACACGAGAAAGCGATTTAGCGAATATGTTGCTGGGCAGGCTGCATGAAACATGTGTAGTTCGACCGTCATGTAAAAAGAAACGCAACATCAGTATGGTTTTTTGGTCGAGCAGAAGGTGGGCGATAATTGCAATTTATTTCTAGCAATGAAACAGATATTGCAATATTGGCTGAACATTGGGAATGATGGATGTTATATTAGAAAAAAATAACAAACGAGAATTCTGAATTTAAATTAAACCTTTTGAGTGTCTTCAATGAAATGATCAATCAATCTCTTTTCAAAATTCAAAATATCAGAAGTATTATGATGCTATCCAGATTTTGGCAAGAAAAGTAAATAGTAACATCAGTTATTTTTAAAATAAATGTTGATTTATCAACATTCAAAAATTCAAAGCCTAGAAAAAACTCACGATCCTATCGACGATCTCAGCTGGCTCGCAGCTGTTCCACTTCGAATCTAATCTAATCTGAAGGATCGCCGGAATACTTAGGAATAATGGCTCGAACAATCCAATATGACATTCAAGCGGTTCAAAAACAAAACACGGAAATCAACTTCCGACAGAATATACCCAGCAAATAACCACTAAGCAAAGAGAATATTACGACAACAGCAAAAAAAAACAAATTGGAGAACGCAAAAAAAAAACAAAGTGCAAAATTTACACCGACGAACAAATTCACGAACGCTGATTAATCAAAGTTTGCGTATTCTTCTTTCCAACTGATGGACGTTATTTATTACCAACAGTCGTACAATTTGAAACGAAACGACAACGCGACAAAAACGAAATGTGGTTCGAAATATTCGATATTTGAATGAAATGTTGGGAAGCGACATAAAAGGGGAACATCATTGAGTCGGCAAAGGTCGATTAATGCCGCCTGGTTGACTATTCAAAAATACATTGAATAGGCACTGGGCCACCACACCAACAAAATTTTCGTTTTTTTTGGTGACGGGGCCAACAACGCGAAACCGGTTGTTTATTCGTTCGCGGAAATAGTAGATATAGATAAGATAGGTGAAAGAATGGCAGAAAAGCGGACGGGAACACAAAAAAAAGCAGCACATATTGCAAAAAAAAGCAGTAAAATTGAAAAATAGCATCTAAAATCTGACGATTTCAAGTGGTGCCTCAAGAGAGTCCGCCCGTTTTCGGTACATCATCATCATCAACGGCACACAACAACTGTTTCGAGAAGAAACGACGAAAAAAATATATTGCTCGTAAATCGACGATCAAAAAAAAGGAATTTTATGAGAATTTCTCTTTGCAGGAAAACATTTTGCCAGCTTTTTAAAGTTCGAATTTTCCTCGAAAGCGAAAAGAACACAGGAAAGTCAAAACCGGTCAGACCTGTGCGTCAGGCGAATTTTATTTAAAAAAAAAAACTATGGAACGCTCGAACTTCATTTTCACACCTGCCATTTTGGACACACACAAATCCGGACAGTTGGAAAAAAAAGTTGGCATTGCCAGTCAAAAAGATGAAGGCGTTCGAACTATATTCGTAATTAAATATGAAATTAGCAATTATAACCGATTATATCCGAAGGTTAATGCATTATAAAGGTCATTCACGGAAAATGGATCAATGTTAATCGAAACAAAAAAAGAACAGTTAGAAAGTGAAATTTATGGATGCCACTATGAAAGTATTTTTGGATAACGTCCCTTCCCCAATAAACACCAAACGTTCATAAAAAAACCGGAATATGTGAAATTCAACAGTTCACTGACTATCCAATGTGCAATGCATGAAGCGATTTAATTAAATGATAAAAAATATGGTTAACGACGACGAGCACGACGCCATAAGTATTTCGAGCAACAATGAAAGCCTATTTCCGGATAAAATGGGTTCCGAGCCGTCCGGAAATTGCGCGGCGGCATACAAATGTGCGGATTAGACGTCTATTCACGAATTCATTAACAATCCGTCCTTCCTCGTCTGTATGCATTGACCAGATGGCTGACCCGGCAGGCCGTTAACTCAGGTAGCGGCAGCAGCACAAGAGCTCGCAGTTTTAATAGACTTACATAGGTTTTTGCGCATCCTGCACGATCTCCTCTTCCTCCCCTTCTTCATCGTCGTCTTCGTCATCGTCATTGTCGTCTTCGTCCGATTTTGAGGCTGTTCTTCGTAATGGAGCCAAACTGGCCGCCATTCCACTACTGAAAAGACAAGAAATCATGAATGAGAGACTTGAACTTTAAAAAAAAACCTACAATTGATCTGAATTTTGCTGAATGGACGAAGAGACCCGTAAAGGGCTCAGCAAGCTACTGTAATAAATATTAAATTATTAATAAGATCAAAATTTGCCATTGAGTCCTTTGAAAATTTTTTGAAAATGAAATTTTGGTGCGTGTCAAGTATAGTTTAATGATTCTACTACTTTATATAACTAATAAAAATTGAAAATTATCTATTTTCCGTATGACGAAATCTAGGCTTCGAAGTAAAGAAAAATTGTTTTAAAAAAATCGAAAAAGGTTTCAAATTTTTTAAAATATCGCATGTGCGTGTTTGCACCATTTGCACATAATCTGACGAAATCTTGTACCCTAGCTGTCACATTGCTCGCGAGAAATAGAAATTTTAAGAAAAAATATATTTAAAGGAAAGTAATCAAAATAACTCATTTAAACTTTTAAAAAATAGGAGGAACATTGCATCCATCTTTTGTCCTTTTCTTGCACTGAAGTTTATTTTTGAACTAATAAATATCAATAAAGCGTTTGTTTGAAGTTCCTTCAAAATTTATAAATGTTTTTTGTTTGTTCTTGAATTCGACATATTAATAGTATCCTAACTTTTGGCACATTTCCATATACGATATCTATTTATGGTGTGATATATTTATTGAAACACAAAGGGATGGTGGGGGGGGGGACTGTCATCACGTCACTGAAATAGCACTTCACGTCAACCAAGGGGAAGATTCACATAAGAGAGTATGAGTCGCATGAGAATTTAGACAAACTCCGCCTAATTTTGTCATAAAAATCGCTATAAAAGACGGGTTCAGAGCACATAAGAGCGTATTCGTTAACTATCTATTCTGTCTGGTATGGCTTTCCAAACAATTAATTCTATGCCATTCATCTGGAGCCATGTTCCGGCACCGCGCAAGATGACGTCGGAGGAGCTGAATAGTCTGATCGTGTTCTTCGGAACACAGCCAGCTCGCCCGGCTCTCAGCGACATTTTGCAGTTCTTCAACAAACTCTTCAACGGGTCCGGAGCGTTTGTAGAAATGGAGCCGCGATTGTGCAATCCGTACTTTTTCATTCCTTTGACAATCAACGGAATGATGCCGATGCCGAATGGTCACCGATGCGACGCCAATGGAATTTGCGAGCTTCTCAATGTCCGCAGCAGAAACTCGGTCGTTGCGACTGTGCAACTGCCTCCGGAAGTTCAAATGTACCCGGACAACATGGAGAACCACTATTATCGGTTCTTTCTCGACTACAAAAATGATTTGATCACTTCGAAGCCACTTCAGTTCAAATCGTTCATTCTGGGGGGTGATCGAGTCCGAATCTTCTTCGATGGAGTCGATCAGTTCCACAATATTGTGATGCGCGAAATTGCGGAAAAAAACTGTGCAATTGATCCCGAACTTTTTGATGAATAAATATTTATATTGTAAAAAATATTATCATCGCAAAAAAAAGAGTCCCTGAATGTTTACGAACCTTTGAATTTTTCTGTCAAATTTCGGCGTGAATTACGCGAGGGTTCTCGTTTTTTTTTGCGATGGTCTCAATATCTACGATTTCTGTCTATTTCTTTCATGTTGTATTTGTATTTCATTGAATCAATAAATTTATTAATTAAAACCTCGAATAAAACAAAAACGAAAAACGATAATAATTTGCATTTGTATTTGAAAAAGATAGCAATTAGCAATTTTTAGCTGATTTTTTAAGACTAAAATTTAGATTTTTATCTAGCAGGACATTTTGAAAATTCTTGATTAAATTGTTATTTTTTGGTTTCTGGAAACTCGACTCGGAACTCGGCTTTCAAAACATCACACTTTCTAATCTTCAATGTTTAATCATTTAAAAAGAGAATATCTAGCAAAATGTGTGAAAATCACACCTTTTAGTTACGATCATTATGTATTATTTTTAGATACACAACTGATAGAGGTGCCATTTTTGTTTGTTAAAAAATTGTTTTAAATGTTCAGATATGATTGATGACAATAAATAATTCGCCCGGAAAGATGCGAAATTGACGGAATAAATATTGAAAATATAGCTGAAAAAAAATGTAAGAGATTCTAGAAATGGTTTTCTATATTTATTGACGTCTGCACAAATTTTTCGAAGTGCCGCATTTCTTCTTTTTTTTAAATGACAACAATATAAGTTTTTGCAAAAACGCATCAACTCTCAAATTCCTACGCAATATTCCCTTATGAATATTTTTTTTATAAATATTCAATGATTAACTATTCAAAATGAACATTCAGCTAAACTATGTATTTAATAATGTTCATATCGCATAATATAAATTGAAGTGAATGAATTTGCGCAATCAGGTGCTTTTCGTGTAGAGCCAAACCAAACAACTACTTTTTCCCATGTTTGCAACAAAAATCAATTCAAAAAATTATTCCATTTACAAAAACGCAACAAATACCATCACGTAGCATTTCCGATTTCAGACAAATGAAAAAAAAAAAAAAAACAACTCACCCAAGTGAATACGATCCATAGACGCCGAGCATTGTGAATTGGGAATCATAATTCGAGGTGTAATTTCGAGAAGACTCCAGTTTGGATGCAATGAATGCTCCTATGCAAATAGAAAAAATGAATGAAATGAGATGAAAATGAATGAATGAGCGAAGAAGAAGAAGAAGAAGAAGAAGTGAAACGAAAACGTATTTTAGATTGAATGAAATATCTCGAAATCATAATCAAAATCTATATGTATCTTGCCCAAAAACGGCAACAATTTCAAATAAACATTTCGCAATATAAACAACGCAAAATGAAAATTTATGGAATCTAGGCAAATTCGTTCCGAATCATGCATTTGTACAGGAAATATTAAAAATTTGACGTGCCTCTCGACTTTTTTTTGATTCAAAACAACTCACTGTCTTGCTCGGTCATTTGGAGTGAATAATCAGATTCCACAATTATTCTCTTCGGCTAGTAGATGGCTCGGTTTATATCGAATATTGTGAAACGAAACTATTCGAACGAAAATTAGCATAAGAATAGTGATCGTGGGAACAAAAAACCCTTGTAAATATATATATGTATAGTTGTTTATTGAACTTTGAAGAAAAGTTATTCAGCGAAAAAAAAGAAGGCGAGAATTTGAACAGGATTTCAACATTGCAGAAAATGTATTGTTGCAGAAACACAATTATCCCGTGACCAGTCACATTTTTTGATATAATCTTGTGGAAGTTTGGAGTTAAGAAAATGCCTACATATGCTGTGCCTTTAAATTGGTCCTAATATTTTTTTGAGTGTCGATTAATTTCAACATTTTAATCAGCTTACAAATGGGAGGGGGGGGGGGACCCGATGAACTAATAGAAAACACATTCTTCGAAAATTAGGTATCAAAACAAATTATGCCGTATGAATTTTTGTGATGAGGGCAAGCCGAAAATTAGATTTCATCTATTATTTCAGATTGTCACGTATACATTCATACTATTGAAGATATTTTTTTGTGAGAAAGTGCTTACCTGAGAGCAACTTGACGTTTTTCGGAAAAGAATATATGCATATAATTTTTTTGATTAGGGTAATATTGTGATAGCAGCGAATTGAATGTCTGATGAAGAAAAGACAGCAAAAAAAAAAAACAATAAATGTGGCCGCGAGGCTGGCCCGCCGAAAAAATTTAATGGGCATTTAAAAATTATGGGGGTTTGCGTGACACGAATAATTTGAACTGATCGAAACTGCTGTGCTAATGGAATTGCAAATATAATAATAATAATTTTACAAGCAAAAGTTTGGAAATGTTTAAATGATCACGACACATTGCTGGACGCTCGATTGGCTAGAAGCCGACAAAATCAAGCCAATTATAGAAGTGACATCATTTAAGGATTACCGTAAAAGGGGATATTGATTTTTAAAAGTCCCAGTTTGGGGAAATGTTTGATTAAAAAATGTATTCCGTAACCCCTTTAAAAAACTTATAAAAATAAAAATCACTTTGATTACAAAAGTTCATAAGCATAAATAAGCATAATTTAAGCATTTCCGTATATGGAAATTGATCTAATTGCTCGAATTCTCTCCATCTCGCCTGCTCTTTCTTCATCTAGCAGTTTCTCAAGCGACAAAAAGAAACGGGAAAAGTATACACACGTATTATGAATACAGCGAATATATATATATATATATATATATATATATATATATATATATATATATATATATATATATATATATATATATATATATATATATATATATATATATATATATATATATATATATATATATATATATATATATATAAAATAACGTTGGGGTCCAGCGAATAATGGAGCAAATCAATGGGGGTATTCAAACAAAAAAGTGACGAACGAATGAAGGCAAAAGGAAATTGTTGAAAAAAAAGAAGAAAAAAAGATGAAGAAGAAGGAAAACGGACGGGGCACGAAGAAGAAGAAGAAGAAGAAGAAGAAGGAGAAGATGATGCTGATGATGATGATGATGGTGTTGAGAGAGATGAAAGAACTGAACGCGAAAATTTCATATTTAATTCGAAATCAGAATGGTGCAACTAATTCATAATGTTGCTTGCTCAAACAAACATGCACTCAAAACTCCAGTTCTTGCTCAAATCCAATCAAGTTCACCTGCCCGCGAGGGGCTCGCCTCTCCCCATTTCGTGTCCATATTTGGTGAACAAGAAGTGGTTTCGAGGAGGTGGCTGCCAGTTTGATTGAATTGAAGCCTTTCTGGCCTTTTTTTTTGCTAGCTACACTACCTGATTTAATCATCATAAACACATATATGCATATACGTAATTATAGCGATATGTTTGCCAGTAGTTGTGTGCTTATGGGGTAGAAGATTAATATTTTGGGTATTATTGGAGGATTTCAGTTTTGCGCGAATGAGAAAAGAGTTCCGCGCACGGATTTCGTTGAGGATTTGCACACAAACACACATATATTATATAAATGTATATTTTTTAAGAGCGAAAGAGACTTATACAAATGATTAATGATGAGTATTCCAACACACACCTGAAACGAATGCTACAGTAATCAGGCTCTCGATAACAAACGCGGTCTATTGAACAAATTTGTAGACATTCATAATATCTTCCAGTTAGCGCATTGAAGCCTAAACAAGAAAACAAGAACCAAATTATCGGCGGACAATTTATTTCCCATAAAATGTTGCAAATAATTGGGTGGTTTGAACGTCAGAAACTCGCAAAAAAAAAGAAAACTCATTTTGTTTTCTGAAATTGCCTTCAAAAGGGCATGTCGGCAACATTTTCCTTCACTTTTTTTTTCGGTGAGAACTTAACTAGAATTACATCATTACGTAAAAGGCGGTCGAGAATCTTTCAGCAATTAGCAGCAAACGGGTCGAATGTTAATACGAAACCCTTTTATTCGGCAAAAAAAAGGGAAATGAAGATTGTCGTCTGCGGAAATTTGGCTAAAAAAAAATTGAAAGTGAGGTCCCGTTGACCGGTGTGCGTCTTTAACCCCGTAAATCTACATTTTCAATTTTTATATTTTTTTTTGGCATTGAGCCAATTTCCGCTGACTTTGACAATATCTTGTTATGCGGCGAGATATATTGAAAAGTAATGCAATTCTCGTGATTTTCTTGTTTCCTTTTCTCACTATCCATCGAACATATTTATCAAGAATTGCGTGTAATTGCATTTATTTTTCTTTTCATTTTCGAAGCTGATAAAGAAAATTTCGATGAAAACAAAAATAATCAATGTTCCCACGAGAAATTCATTAATTGTCCAATTCGAATCACAAACGGCTCATTTCAATTTTTGAGCAAAGTTATGAGGCGATGGATGAGCAATCGAATTAATGAGCATCGGAATTTATAATAAACTCAGTTATTCACCTGAACAAGTAATCGGATGCGAACGGCTTTTGGGAGTTAGAAGCACAATCGATTGCGACATCGAAGGCGGATCAAATACATATGAACGATAAGATTCGAGAATTGAAGATACTAGAAGATTCCACAATAAGAACAATCTTGAAATTCTAAATTTAATTTTTCATGGAAATAATGAATTGTTTCGTTTCAAGACCCATAAATTGTTTTTTTGGAAAAATCAAAAACCTATGTGAGCAATTCAAAAATTTTTTGGATTCATTGTTAGATTTTTTGAAAAGGAAATATTCAAAACAGTAGGAGAGAAAAAATACAGATTTTTCTGAATTCAAGTGAAAAAGAAACAGAAAGTATGATTATGCGAAAGAAATTTAATTGGATCCAATTCAACACTCTTCTCTCTCACTCTAATAATGTTTAATTGAGATTTTCAAGAATGTCACGTGCCGAAATTCACTTAAAACGGGTGAATATTATTACGACATGTTATAAACTAATCCGATTCTTATTTAAAACCGCTTCGAAAACAATGAGCGAA